TCCGTGAAGAATCTCTCACCTTCCGTCTTACCGAAGCGGGCGAGGAGTTTATTGCGGACAAGGATCGTGCCTTCTCCTACCCCTCGATGGAGAAGACTCTGGGTGACTTCCACCTGAAGATTGATGCCGGAAAGTTCACCGACTCTGAAATTGTCGTCATGATGGGTGAGAACGGAACTGGAAAGACCACTTTCTGTAAGATGCTTGCTGGTGCATTGAAACCCGATGGCGCTATCACCATCCCCAAGATGAACATCAGCATGAAGCCCCAGAAGATCACCCCCAAGTTCACGGGTACCGTGCGCCAGCTCTTCTTCAAGCGTATCAAGACTGCTTTCCTCTCTCCTCAGTTCCAGACCGATGTCTACAAGCCCCTGAAGATGGATGACTTCATCGACCAGGAGGTCCAGAACCTGTCCGGTGGTGAATTGCAGCGTGTCGCTATTGTTCTGGCTCTGGGTATGCCCGCTGATATCTACCTGATTGACGAGCCCAGTGCCTACCTGGACTCCGAGCAGCGTATTGTCGCTGCTCGTGTCATCAAGCGTTTCATTATGCACACCAAGAAGACCGCTTTCATCGTCGAGCACGATTTCATCATGGCCACCTACCTGGCTGATCGTGTCATCGTCTTCGACGGCCAGCCATCTGTGGACGCTCGTGCCCAGACACCCGAGTCTCTCGTCGGTGGTTGCAACAGGTTCTTGAAGAGCTTGGATGTCACTTTCCGTCGTGACCCCATCAGTTACCGCCCTCGTATCAACAAGTACAACAGTCAAATGGACCAGGAGCAGAAGCTGGCAGGCAACTACGTAAGTTTTCTAAGTTTTCTATCTCATCTATGGATGCTATTGATTCCATTCTAAATTCCTTGCTAACTATATTCAACAGTACTTCTTGGAAGAAGAGAATTGAAAAGGGCGTTCACAACGAGCATCGTCGCCGTCGTCACAAACATGACGGCCGCGACTATGAGCAGCGGCGCAACAGGCGCCGCGGCGATTGGAAGATCATGTGGTTAATGGGGATCCCAGGCGTTTGCAGAGCCTCGGCGGTTCAGGGCAAGGGATACCGTCGCCGCGCCGGACCCTCTTCAGGTGCCGATGACGGTCTCTCGGACGACGATGGCGATGATGACGATTTGAATGGCAACAGTGACCCCGACTAGAAGGTAGTGACCTGGTTCACACCCTGCTATCCCTGGTCTAGTACGCTCATTTACTTATGCGACCTGTTGCCATTCGTCAGTCTATCAACAAATGCCTACATCGTTATTCGCCTTGCGACCTGCCTTGATTTGCTCTGGATTTTTTTATCATATCCAGAGTCATCGGCCCCCGGTTGGGAACACATGCCTACAGATCTTCCACTAGCACCTATTAAATTTTAATGGTGGATGAGGTTCGGCATAGTTTTTTTTTCCAACGGAGTTATGTTTGCATTAGGTTGGAGGGGTTGGGTTCCAAAAAAAGCTCTCCATGAATTTTATGATTTGTTTAAAGATGGAATGTCGCGTCGGAATGGATTGGCGATGAGGTTGTTTTCAGACCGGGGATGGCATAGAACAGGAAACCGCTGAAAAGCTGCCAGGTTCGTTGCCTCTTCGTCGTGTAGATAGATAGTTTTCAACCCATTGTTGTGCATATGCTTCTCTTGTTCGTATTTTTGATCCAACATATCTCTCTAGCAGGCTTCTCTAGCCACGCGCACCCCGAATTCTACGAAGCAGGGACACTGCCGCCTTTCCTTTTGGGTCGAGGTAGCCATGTGGATAGGCAAGTATGATATATGATTCTGTAGATATATATATAGAGAGAGTACCAGTATACAAGCATTGTGTACAGGAGTGTACGGATATATATAATCTGGGAGAAACTGGCCATATCCTGCCAGGGAGTCAAACGGACAAGTGGGATCTGACTTCAACTCTTTGAGCTATGTATGTACTATCCACGGGGAGACTATAGGTACACATTGGGGTTGCGGATTATTTACCTACGCTATTCGCGGGGGCGAGCCAAGCCCGATATATACAAACCGAAAGAGGTTCCTTATAATTTGATAAAGGGCAGCATCTGCTAGAAGTGCAATTAGTGCGGCATTAGGAGAGACATTACGAGATACTCAAATGGCTCAGACCCTAACTTTTGACATTCACCCAAGCGGGAGCGTGAGCTCGGATTATCTGGTGTGCAAGTCGGAGTAGTAGATGGTCTAGACTGGATTACTGGGCCTGGAAGAAAGCAAATGAGATTGCAGGATAGATTCAGCTCAATATCCTACATGTGGGTTGAAGGGCAGAAATTACTTGCATATGGTCAAGCGTGAATGAGAATGTCCATCCCCATCTACTCCTCTTCAATCTCTCCTTCCTCGCTGCCAGAGTGAATGGCCTTCTCATCTTTCTTCGCATCCTCGATCTCTTCTTCCGGAATAGCGGACCGTTCCTGTCGGGGGACTCTCGGACCCTTGCTGCGCTCACGGCTCTCACGTCGGTACCGCTTACGGCTAGCCACACTCTCGGTATCACTGTCACGTCGGCGTCGGCGGTCACCACTGGCCACACTGCGAGTGTCAACAGCACCAGTACCACCACCATAATCAAGCTCATCACGACTTCCACGGGGATCTCCACGAGTGCGGTAAAGGCGCTCGCGTTCGTCTTCACGTCGGTCTGGGTCTCTAGCGCGGGGACGGTCAAAGTCACGGTCCCGGCTACGATAACGGTCTCCACGCTCATCGCGACGATCACGAGATGGGGAGATACCGCTGACCTTGCGGTAAGTTCGTTCGCGGTCGGCCTGTGCCTTGCGACGGTCTGCTTCGTATGCATCCATTTCCGGGGTCCGGTTGGTCTGGCCGCTGGGTCCTCGTCGTTCTCCTCGCCCACTGCGATATTCACGATCACCGCGGTCATAATCCCGTCGGCTTCCACGGCTTTGAGAGTGTACCTCACGCTCCCTCTCTGCATCCTCATCTCTTTCTTTCAAGCGGCGAATTGCTTTTTCAAAGGCAGACTCCCGAATTTCATCGGACTCAATGGCCTTGTATTCGTCGTATTTCTCAAGGCGAGGTTGGACTTCAGCCCAGGTGTCGGTGACCCGGACAGGCGGCTCTAGGCGCTTGATACGAGAACGCAGTGCGTCCACGGCGCGACGCTGTTGACGATCGGCTGCATGCTTTTCATCCTCCGTACGTCGAACTGCCTTGTCTTGGATGCGCTGGAAAATGAGATTGAGAATCTCAGGGTCAATCTTGGAGGTGCGACGGTCGGCGGACATGATAGAATTGAATTCGTCAAACGTGGTTTCAGTCGTAACTTCAAATCGCTTGTCCTAGAATCAGTTTGTTAGGACATATAGTCTTTGCTTGGATCCGAGGGAAACTTACATCCAGAACATCGAGCACGTCGTTCCGAGGTCCTCGCAAAGCGCGTTCTTCTTCCTCCACCATATCCCAGAACAAATCAAGAGGGGTCGAACCAGGCTGGCCTAGGATGCCATGATATCTGGGGTCATCCTTAATGATCGGGCAGATATTCATCCACTTGGTGCCCGCCTTGATCTTACCCTGGGATTTGAGCTCCTTAAGGAGGGCCACGAATTGCTCTCGGTTCTTACGCTCCTTTCTGGTTCTGGCTGCCTTGTGTTGCTGGCGAGCATCGTTGAAAGCCCGCTCCAGGGACTTGATATGATTTTCGAAGGCAATCAAAATGTCAGACTTGGTCAGGGATTTGAACTTGTCATCGGTTTGGAACTTGCTGTCAGACTGAATGATGGCATGAGCCTCGGACCAACGCGTGTATGGCTCCAGGTTGAGTGAATCCATAATGGTCATCAACTCATCCATGGCAGCCTTGTGCGTGACAAATTCTTGCTCGGCGTGAGCCTTCTTGAGTTCGAGGATGTACTCGTCGAAAAGCTGGCGTCTCTCGTCTTCCTCATTGGTAGACCTGAAGGTAGTCTCCCCCTCAATGATCGGTCGAATCGTCTTCCAGCGGCTGTAGTATTTTATTTCAGGATGGCGCTTCAGCATAGTGTTGAAGTCCGCGCGAAGCTTGGCGAATCGTTCTTTCGCCCGCTCCTTTTCCTGCATGCGAACCTGGACCACGTATTTCTCGAAGGCTGCCTTGCGGTCTCGCGGATCCTTAAGAGCCCGGTACTGCGGGTCCTTGATCGTAGCGCGCATTGTCGCGTCCCAAGTCCAATCAGGCTGCACGTTGTGGCGCTTGAGCAGCTTCATGAAGGCGCTCTCCGCCTCCTCGAGAGTATGATAGTCGGGGTCCATCTGGGACTTGTATTCTGGAGCAGCGACCATGCTGTTCGTTTCAAACGAGCCGTATCCACCGCGTCGGTCGTTGTATCCCCGCTCACCTCGGTCGAAGTCTTCACGGTCACGTTGCTGCAGTTGCGAGAAAGAGGCTCCGCCGGCGACAAATGAAGGGGCACTGTGAAGGAATTAGCATTGAGGGAAGTTAAGTTGGGGAAGCACTTACGCGGGGGTCGCCTGGGGGGCAGGCGCCTGTGCGAGCGCGTTTTTGTAAACTTCAGGCATCTCCCATGTGCTCTGCTTAGTTTCTGAGTGATACCAGTATTTGCGCCCAGCATCCGTAGTGTGCTCCTTCCATGGTTGATTCGCGAGAGCAAGCTATAAAGAAGTCAGTTAAGCGCGTAACATTTTGCGGTCAGGTACGCACCTCAACCGGAGTCATCAACTCTTGCGGCTTGGTCCATTGTGTGGCTTTGGTCTGGATATTGTAATAATAAACGCGTCCTTCCGCATTTTGCGCCTGCTGCCACAGGGCAGAATTTGGGTTGCGGCTTGGATCCATTGTGAACGGTGTTGAAGAGACTAACAGAGAAGTGAAAACGGAGCTTCCTCAATAATCTCCGCGGCTGTGCGCTTTTGGCACTTCGCGTCTACCGTATCAACACTTATCGGTTATCTCCTGAGCTCTAAACAGCCACTTTATTGACTCCTTTGCGACATCCGTTGTCGCAATGCCTGGTCTGGAGATCCCAGGTGAATTCTTGCGTCATGCAATTCTTGATACCGTCGTGCTTCATGCTCCAGCATTTGACATTGAGCGCGCCCTGAGTTCGGCCCTAGAGGACGGAGCTGATGATCTCCCCTCTGTTCTCTCGTCAATCCCCCAACGGTCTCTATTGTTCTTTGGTATGCACTTTCAAAGGATCAGCAGAGTTTGCGCCTTACTCATTAATAGCAATTAGATGAATTTTTGCCTGTCCGTATCATCTTGAGACTATCTGATTGCTCAGAAACGACCTTGAAACACTACCTGCCACGACTCGAAGTCAAGCTCGATGTCTTTGCTGTCGATCCAGCAGAATCAGTTGGCGAAAACCTCACGCCAACTCGCGATATAATATTCTCAGGAATTGTCGGTCGAGATGAGGATCCCCTAGTAGTCTTCAATGAATTCGAAGGTGATGAAGGCAGTGGGAATCATGTCTATTTGGTTTGGAACATCGAGACTATACTGCGTGAGTGATTTGAATCTTTGGATTGACATGAACGTCACTAACTTGGTTGATAGGGCGTCCCCGTATTCGAATCCAACATCCGTCACTCTTATTCATTGCGTCTGCCAGTCTGAATCCGGCTGACGCTCGCCGTCGAGAGAATTCGGGGGATGACTATCTCCCCTCACTCGTCCCCGCATCGACCAATATGCTGCAATCTCTATCCACTGATAAATCTTTCAATCATAAAGAGCCTTTCCTCCCCGCTTCCAGACTATTGAGGGTTGTACCGACAACATACGACGAAGACCCGATTTACAATATCCAGCAACAACACGGTCACCCCTTTCGCGTTGTGCCAGCCGCAAGCGCAAGGATTCGATACTCTCGGTTAAGCTCCTACACGGCTATACCGATGACCGTGGCCAGTCTTGACTTTGAGGTCACCCCTTATCTGGCTTGCGAGGTCTCCTTTGACAAAGCGAATCTTCACCTGTCCGAGGGAACGATTGAGTCGCTTTCAGACACACCGGGCCTGGCTCTTCCTATTACTTGCCGTCCGCGAGACGATGTGACCCTCATGTATAAACTTACACCGGAGTATGGCCCAGAGACCAATCCATCATCTACCGCGTTAGTCAGCACGCTGGACATATCTCTCGAGGCAGCAATTCTTGTGGATGACGACTGCAAGCCACGTATTTCTATGCAGTGGAGAACCAACGTCGATTTCTCAGTCGCCCTAAATCCGAATTTTGGGGGGCCCAGTCCAGCGCTGCAAAGGACCAACCGCCCTACCAGTCTATCGGTGTCAACCCAAGTGGGTGTGAACCCTCATCGAAGCTCATTGCGAGAACGAGCATATTCGGTCACCGACGTGGGTATCACAATCTCATTCTCTGGACCTGTTCGTGTGCAAGTGGGCTGTGTCTTCTCTTGGGATGTTTTTATTGTCAATCGATCAAACGCTCCTCGAAAGTTTGCCTTGATCGCCATACCCAAGCGGAAAAGCGTGGACCCACGAGGCCATGTTGCTCGGCCTTCATCGTCATCTATCACCAGCCGGAAAGAGGACCAAGTGGCCGAGGCGGTAACTGACGATAATATCGTGCATGCGAGGCAAAAGAGTGTGGCTGGTCAGGAAGTGGAACTGATCAGCTTGAGCACAGACATTCGCGTGGGGTGAGTATTCTCTACTGTGTTCCTTTTCGTTTCCTTCTCTAAGCTGACGTTTTATTAGCCCCCTCCTCCCAGGAACTTGCCATTCGACTGAACTCAAACTCCTTCCCCTAGCTACAGGCCCACTTCATTTGGAGGCGGTCCGGCTTGTAGATGTGAACACGAACGAAACGACTGATATCCGAGATCTTCCGGACATTTTGGCGGATGATCAGCCTCGCTCTAGTTAAGAGCAGCCTAACACTGTATATATATGACATAGAGCTATAGCTACTTTCAAAGTGGCCTGTCCTTAACAAATTATTTTCCTCTTGCCTTTTATGGTGTGTTTTTAAGGCTGACAACTCATTCGAGAGACTATATGCGACCCCATATCTAGTTTGTACCTTTTCATTGCCCGGTATCTCCTGTTTAGTAACTGAACTGCGATCTTGAAACGCCAAGCGCCTCGAACGGCGTGAAAGCATTACTATTGCTCCAATGAGGCGGTGTTAAAGAAAGATAGATAGAACTGTTGGAATCGGCTGGAAGATGAAATGGAGTTATACAATACAATTTATATCCACGAAGTCAATGTATACGGGGTAGGTGTAGAGTAAATACACCGAGGCAGCAAGGTATAGTTCAACGAATGTGATTGGTGGAAGGAGATCACGGGGTAATCGACTCGGCGTCGTGACTTTGTTAGTCACAAAGGCGGGAATTTGGAGAAGGCCAGCTAACTACATAGTTATCTTCTTCCCTACATATCATCATAGTAACTGGGATTCCCTTCTGAATATTGGGTATTGGGTTCAATATCCAGCTTCTCAACTTTGCTTTTCAACTGCCCCGGTTTCTTTGGTCTTTGCGTCATACTGGCGCATTTGGTTCCTTCCCAGAAATCTTGCCCATCACTCCGCTCCCAGTCGCCAGAACCCTCCAACATGATCTGCTCTGCGAAGCGGAAAGTCCTGGATGGACTGAATAAGAGATATATTTACGGTCGCGTGGTATGCACCTTCCTAAAGCCTGACATATCGTCACCTCTCAATTTGATTACGGCTAACCCTGTGGTCATTATCTTCAAGCCTTTATTGCACACGATAATTTTCCTCGTCGAGATGGCAGTAGCAGCACGCCTTGCTACCAAATTCAATACCTATTATGCTGAAAGGCCAGGTAAGCCTCTTTCCGCCTGTTCCCGCGGGATCACAGACTGACATCACTACTGTAAATAGTGCTCACGACCATGGTCACCAACGCTGTAAGCTTGCCGCGATATTGATCACCAAAGTTTGGACTGACAGCTGACTAAATGGATGTTACAGGTGCTTGGTGGTGTTGCCGATACCGTTGCGCAGCTGATTACGGCCTTCCGGACCCGCCGATCGCAGACAAGCGGGGACGATTTCCTATCGATCGAGATCCCCGACTTTGACAAGCACAAGCCCTCTGCTGTAGGGGAATCGGGATATGTTCGGAGCTCATTGCCGCCTTTCGATTTTGAGCGTCTGACGAGATTCATGGCTTATGGCTTCTTCATGGCGCCGCTGCAGTTCCAGTGGTTCGGCTTCTTGTCCAGAGCATTCCCACTCACTAAGAAGAACCCGACGGCCCCAGCTTTCAAGCGTGTCGCCTTTGACCAGTTAATTTTTGCGCCATTTGGTATGATCCGCCTCTAGCTACTTTGGGATGTCTTTGGACCGGACTGATTTATCTAGGTCTGGTGGTCTTCTTCACCTACATGACGATCGCCGAGGGTGGTGGTAGAAGGGCATTGACAAACAAGTTCCGTGATGTCTACCTGCCTACCCTAAAGGCCAACTTTGTGCTCTGGCCGGCAGTGCAGATCCTAAATTTCCGTGTCGTTCCCATTCAGTTCCAGATCGTAAGTCTCCTAAGTTCTCCTTGTTAGGATAGAACCCATACTGACTTCTCAACCCAGCCATTCGTCTCAACCGTTGGTATTGCATGGACTGCATACCTTTCTCTGACTAACTCCTCCGAGGAGTCCTAATTGAACGCTATTCAACGCGAAATCATGATAACGATTCGGGGTGTAGAATGCTTGAAGTACACTCTTTCTTATGTCAAATTATTTGGGAGTTTCGGTTGGTCAGTCTGGCTTTCATGTACATGGTTGCCCGCGGACGGGGTTTGCATTTCAAAAGGTCAGATTTTGCACATTTGGGAATACCAACTCGGGGTTTTGCTGTTAACTATTTTTGTGATTTGACTTGAATGCTTCAGGAGAATTCCATGTTTCCGCTTTTCAGCTTTTCAACCCCCATTGTGCTTCACATGATTTCGTTGGACTCGGAAAACACGCAAGCATGTACGGAGTAGCGACTATGGAATCAGTAGAGGTAATCTTCCCAGAAATTCCCGACCCCGAGGCTAAAGAGGGCCTTTATGGCCCGGCCTTCCCCGTATCAACGCGGGCAGCTCTGACATCAGTCCCGCGTCAGCCCGATCAGTTCTCCGGGGAGAGTCGGGTACGGGAAAGTGAGGTACCTATTTTATAGAGATACCTTGTAAACAATGATGGCATCATAGTGCGAACAAGTACCTTATTCGGTGGAATACATCACCTGTAGGTACCCCGTTGCTACGGGGGTGCCTTTTCACCGGCCTTGCCCCACCAAAACTGACCCCTCCACTCTTTAATGATCGCGAGCTCACCGTGGCCTGATTAAGTTCTTTCTCCTTCTTCTTCTTCTTCTTCCTTTCTTGCTTCTTTTACCATTGTCATATCATTAGCCATCCAAAATGTCTCTCGCCAACAAGCTCCCCATTACTGATGTCGACCTCAAGGGCAAGCGTGTCTTGATCCGGGTAAGCTTCTAGCTCATTGAGCTTCATTACTCGCAGCTCCTAACCGCTGACTGAAACAGGTTGACTTCAATGTTCCCCTCGATGATAACAAGAACGTTACCAACTCTCAGCGTATCGTTGGTGCCCTGCCCACCATCAAGTATGCCATCGACAACGGTGCCAAGGCCGTTGTGCTCATGTCTCACCTCGGCCGCCCCAATGGCAAGGTCAACCCCAAGTACAGCTTGAAGCCCGTTGTTCCCGTGCTTGAGAAGCTTCTCGGCAAGGACGTCACTTTCGTCGACGACTGCGTTGGTCCCCAGACTGAGGAGACCGTGAACAAGGCTTCCGGTGGCCAGGTCATTCTGCTTGAGAACCTCCGTTTCCATGCTGAGGAGGAGGGCAGCTCTAAGGACGCCGAGGGCAATAAGGTCAAGGCCGACAAGGCCGATGTTGATGCATTCCGCAAGGGCCTCACTGCCCTCGGTGACGTTTACGTCAGTATGTAACACCACGACTCTATTACTATTTCTTGTCGTTCATTTATCTCTAACATCAATCCAGACGATGCTTTCGGTACCGCACACCGCGCTCACAGCTCCATGGTCGGCGTGGACCTACCCCAGAAGGCTGCCGGCTTCCTCATGAAGAAGGAGCTGGAGTACTTCGCCAAGGCTCTTGAGAACCCTGCGCGCCCCTTCCTCGCCATCCTCGGTGGTGCCAAGGTGTCTGACAAGATCCTGCTGATTGACAACCTCCTGCCTAAGGTTAACAGCCTCATCATCACCGGTGGCATGGCCTTCACCTTCAAGAAGACTCTTGAGAACGTCAAGATCGGCAACAGTCTCTTCGACGAGGCCGGCAGCAAGTTAGTCGGCGAGATTGTCGAGAAGGCCAAGAAGTACAACGTCGAGATCGTCCTCCCCGTTGACTACGTCACCGCCGATAAGTTCTCTGCCGACGCCACCGTTGGTGCGGCTACTGACGCTACCGGTATCCCCGACGGCTTCATGGGTCTGGATGTTGGCCCCGAGAGTGTCAAGCTCTACCAGAAGACCATTGCCGAGGCCAAGACCATCCTCTGGAACGGCCCCCCCGGTGTCTTCGAGCTCAAGCCCTTCGCCAAGGGTACCGAGGCTACCCTCGATGCCGCTGTCAAGGCTGCCGAGTCCGGTTCCATCGTCATCATCGGTGGCGGTGATACCGCTACCGTGGCCGCCAAGTACAAGGTCGAGGACAAGATCTCTCACGTTTCGACCGGTGGCGGTGCCTCGCTCGAGCTTCTCGAAGGCAAGGAGCTGCCTGGTGTTACTGCTCTGTCTAGTAAGTAAATGATGAAAAATAGGTGGTGAAGGGAGAGTCTACATCGGCTCTCCTTTTGTCCTGCATGTTTATGAAACTGTAATGTATACAGCCAATGAATTTCCTTTTAATTACAAACTCATTTTCCAAAAGAGGTCTGGATTGTGGTCTTAGATCAGATAACTAAGTGTTGTGCTTAGGTACGAAACCGAAGCTTTAGCTACGACGTCAAGAGACCTCCCGTGGTCAATTCTCATGTATAAGGATGAGAGGAAATTCCTACGGTAAATAAATAGGACCGCAACGCCATAGTGTCATGAATATGGTTGAACCATGCCAATCCCATTCACAACTCCACCTCGCAACGCAACTCCAACTGATACTTCCGTTCATCTTCCTACATAATATCATTTTAGGCTTGCGCAGAATCATAAGCTTTGATATTAGTGGAACTTCATGATAATCCCGAAACCAAGATCTGCGCTGAGTAATGAATCGTAAAAATAAGTCAAAAGGACCGTGTCTCATTTCCTCCCCGACAAGCTCCCGAAAAGTTCCTGACAAATGCATGTGGCAATAAAGCTTTTGAATCCTCCCATTGGTTCCAAAGACAGGGGGGTATAATGTGCGAGATGAAATGGCCAGCCAACTCGATAATGAACCCATCCCGAAACCCGACGCCGGGGTTATTTCTTTTTCGTGCGCTTGTGCAGGTTCGTCCAGTTTAAGCCGATGCTTCGACTTTCTTCAATTCTTCCCTGGATGAGGTGATGGATGTTAGTGGGTGCGGTGAAAGAGGGGAAGGCGGGAGCTTTGGCGGGGATGGGGGTGCGGGCTTCGGTGGTGGTTTTGGTTCAAAGATGAAAGAGACTTTGTGGACAAGAAGCATAGCATAAAGAGTATACAGAGAATCGGGAAGTATTGGGAAAGGCAAACTCACTGGAGCTGCTTTGAGAAGTCCTCCGCGGCATCATCGTCATCCCAGCTCTCTTCCCACAGGTGCTCGCTACCGTCATTTGCTGTCGAGCCATTGGCCTGCTCGGCTTCTTCTTGGGGCCAGTCTGTGTGTCGTAGAGTTAGCTTCGTTGCTGCAGGGAAGCGCTTGAGTGCTTGGTCGATACCTTCAACGGGGAAATCCTCGAACTCGTCGTCTTCCTCCAAGACTTGGGGCTTCGCTTGTGGTGCGGGCTGCTCTGTGGCATCGGCCTTCTGGGTAGTTGGGTTTGACATTGTGGGAGATGTGATAGACGGGGGAGATCGAAAGGTAGATAGGTGGAGATGTGGACGTGGATGTGGCAGCTTTGAGGTCGGAGGTCGGAGGTTTGACTTAGTAAGACCGCGATAAGGCGATAACGATGATGTAGCTGGGAGAGAACCTCGGAAAACAGCACAGCGTTGTTGATTTAAATGGAAAAAAAGAAAGAAATGAATGAGTGACTCCGAAGAAGAGAATAGAAGAGAATATTAGAAATACAAAAGAGTATTATGTTATGAAATAGAGCAAAAAATAACCGATCGATGTAGAATTCGCCTTCTATAAGAAATTGCCCACACGGAGCTACCGGCGAAAAGAATCCATGGGAAGAGCCTCAGCACTGGGGACATGCTATATTACAGCTTCCCCCTCCCCCTCGACCTTCCTTCTCCACCTCCCCACCTCTTTCTGTGTCTTTTCCCTTTTCTCTTTGTTATTCTCTTGTATCAGTGATGTTCTCGACCGTTGAGTTTCCGCACAGTTGACATATTGACATTCCTCCCGATCCGGCGCTCTCTCTTTTCGGCTTGATCGGATTGTCCTGACTGAGACCATCGTGGATTGTGTCCCCATTGAAAATTTCATTCTTCATACTCACTGCCAGCGGTTTTCGTCATGTTGCGTGTCGGGTCCTGGTTGTACGGCAAGAAGCCGGCGCAGTCTGTGGACTCAAAGGTTGAGTTGAAAGACTGTGAGTGGCGATACACTCTAGGAAAGCCATGATGATTATTATGTTGCATACTGACCGCCCTCTTCTGAGCTAGTGCATGATGCGCTGACAGGTATGTCTTATGGGAAATGTGCGCCCCTTTAGATACCGACTAATGCGATGAAACTAGCTGCAACGCTGATTCTCAATGATGATGTTGATGGCGCAGAGAGTGGTCTCTCCACGGGAACTTCATCCTTTCACAATGTGGGTATCATAAATACAAGCTATGACGTAGCACATACCTTGAGGAAAGGCGCTGACTCCTGATCGAGTACATAGCTGGGTAAAGGCGTGGTCGCGTTTGTCCGGGCAACATTAGGGTTCGAGCAGGAGATTATGCGACAAGGTCCATTGCTCTTTCTATCTTCTAAATCCACATTTTCTGACAATCCGCAGCATCCGAGCGCCTCTATGAAGCAGAAACCAGCGCGGCCAACGATCAAACCCGGTCCCAGCAAAACGCCCAAGCACCCAATGCTTTTCACTCCGATATCTATGCTGCCGGTACCGAATACGCGTTGTGCCAAGCAATCGCCCAATTGATGAGTGCAGTGGTTGGGGTGCTGAATGAAAGCCTGACAGAAAGTATCAAAGCGTTCTACCGACTGAGGAAGGCTTATATCGCACTCGATGCGATCATGAAGATGGAAGAGAAGTTTATGGAGCAGAGGGATATACGCAAAGTTTTACGGCCCACTGCGAGTGATCTCTCAAGCTCGAGCGCTGCATGCCCAGACACGAAGTCGGAGTCGTCCAGTCTTCTATCGAAAAAGAGCGCGAAAATGGCTAACATCGAGAAATCCGAGCTTAATTCCTCAATGAATTCACTGGCGATCTCATCCAGGGCGGTATCTCCAGATGTTTCAACTCCTTCCACACTTGCGAAGCATATCCACCAAGACCCCGACTCGGATATCTTCAAGAATGAAATCGATGTTTTTGTGCACTCTGGTTCCAATTTCTGCTTTGGTATTCTTCTTCTACTGATCTCTATGGTTCCACCGGCGTTCAGCAAACTTCTTTCCATTATTGGCTTCCACGGTGACAAGCAACGAGGGCTGAGAATGCTCTGGCAAGCCAGCAAGTTCCACAACCTTATCGGTGCCATGGCTGCTTTGGCACTGCTGGGGTATTACAATGGCTTTGTCCGCTACTGCGATATTATGCCCGACCCAACTCCTGGTGGATCCGACGTTGAGGGATACCCGCAGGAGAGGCTGGCTGCGTTGCTGGCGGAGATGCGGTTCCGGTTCCCCAACAGTCAACTTTGGCTGCTCGAAGAATCGCGGATGTTAGGCGCGAACAAAAAGCTGGACAGTGCTCTGGAAGTGTTGTCCACGGACAAGAAGAGCCCGCTCAAGCAGGTAGAGGGGTTGTGCGTGTTTGAGAAGAGCTTGAACGCATTGTTTCTCCACAGATATAATGTCTGTGCTGAAGCATTCATTGAGGTATAAATCTTATCTGGAGATTTTTGAAACATCAAGCTAATCCTTTCAGTGCGTGGAACTCAATACGTGGTCTCGTTCATTGTATTACTACATTGCCGGATCGTGTCATGTTGTCCTGTACCGGCAATCACTCGACGACCCAAAGCTTGCAGCGGAACATGCTAAAAAAGCCACCATGTACATGCGGAAGGCACCCGAATTCGCGGGGAAAAAGCGATTTATGGCCCGACAACTGCCGTTTGATATCTTTGTGACTCGGAAAATTGCCAAATGGGAGGCGCGCGCCAAAGAATGGAACGTATCTCTGGTGGATGCGATTGGAGTGGACCCGGTTGAAGAAATGATCTTTTTCTGGAACGGACACAGTCGCATGACCAACGAGCAACTGCAGGAGTCTTTGACCCGGCTGGAATGGTGCGAAAGCGAAAAGAACAAGATGTGGTCTCGTGAGGGAAGCGAAGAAAAGGCGATCCTGGAGCTTCTCCGGGCTGCTGTTTTTCGATCCCTGTACAGACACGAAGAGGCGAAAAAGATCCTTTTGACCTGCGTCTTGAACCACGAGAAGTCTGTATTCAAGGGCCACCTGAAGGATGACTGGGTCCACCCAGTGGCGCATTTCGAAATGGCCGCCAACCTCTGGATGCAGCGTCCTACATACCAGGCCCTGCATGGGATTACTTCCCCCGAGGCGTCGGAGGAAGCGTCCGCGGAATCTAGGGAGACGAACATAGAGATCGAGAGGAAGCAGGTATCCGAGTGCAAGGGATACCTCGACTTCGCTGCTCGCTGGGAGAGCTATGAGCTCGACGCTCGTATTGGACTCAAGGTTACTGCGGCGATGGAAGCAATTAACAAGTGGCAGAGCATTCATGCGGAAGTCTAATGGTTATTGTGTTTGTTCAATCCTTGGGCAGCGCATTGTTCATAGCTGCCCAGGATACCTTGTGTAGCATACACACATAGAGTACGAGTAGATGTTAGGATTAGATTTAACGAAGTTCATTTTACGTCTCTTTTTCCATCCTTTTCTCCTCTTTCAACATCAGCACAATGGCAACCTCACCGTTTAATTCCCCCGATCACCGATCTATGCAACGTCAATGCTTGAATGTCATTGGCCACAAGGAGCTCCACTATGCGATAGCACTCGGCACTATGGCCACCGACGCCGAGTCTCTCATTTCCCCGTCCGCAAATGATAAGTCTCGGTGCTTAGATGGTGATGCCGAGATTTCATGAAAGCCGTTGAACTCTCCCCAAAGAACTTCCCGTTAGAATTGGAGATTAGCAACCTGACATATTCCGAACGAGTTCTCGGATAACACGGCTTTTGCCATCGGAGGTCCGACCAAAAGTCCCCAGAGTCTTGAAGAAAACGAATAAAACGCTCTGAGATGTCCGATATTTCTCAGCCTTACCGTTGTCATTTCTCCGCTTGACAACTCCGTTATATCCACTTATTATCTCCGAGAATTATTTCCCCCCGACTTTTCTACGGACTTTTCCGAGTCTACTTCATATATCTTGTTTCGCACATTCTCCCTCTCTTAGCTCTAGCGCTGGTCCTGCGACACTTCGGTCAATGATCCGTAATAATGGTCGAACGGACAGAACATGACTGTCGCACTAGCGAATCTAGCGACGATATCGAACCGCATCGCAGCGACGAGGCAGATGGAATCGGAGCATTGGAGAAGCAAAGTACTGCGGCATCGGGTTATTCAGCCTTTGAACAACAGCGCGGACAGTCAATAGTCTCGCGCATTCGGAGTCTCGAGGCCGGTCAGACGGCGAAATTCACTCATCCACTCAGCCATACCAAGACAGGTCCTGATGTCATCGTGGATTTCGAAGGACCGGATGATCCTTACAGACCATTGAACTGGGATTTCAGGAAGAAGGCTATCACGACGGTGCTGTATGGATTAACTACTATGGGTATGTCGGGGAAATGATGAATTGTGGGGAATGACGCTAATCGCCGTTATCAATCTAGGTGCGACGTGGGCGAGTTCAATGTATGTCCATTTTCTTTTCGTCCTCACAGTTTATACATTATTAAACTAACAATATTAGCTACTCAACCGGCCAGGCACAGATCAGCGAGGAATTCGGCATCTCAAATGAGGTCGCTACACTCGGCACCTCATTGCTTTTGTTCGGCCTGGGATTGGGCCCGCTGATCTGGGCACCTCTGTCTGAGCTATATGGGCGCAAAACGGCAGTTTTACCGCCATACTTTCTCGCGGCCATCTTTTCCTTCGCGACAGCCACCGCCAAAGATGTGCAGACTATTATGATCACTAGATTTTTCACGGGGTTCTTCGGCTCGGCCCCTGTTACCAACACCGGCGGTGTCCTGAGTGATATCTGGAGCCCCGAGCAGCGTGGAGCTGCCATTGTCGGCTATGCCATGGCCGTGGTCGGTGGGCCTGTTATTGGGCCTATTGCGGGTGGTGCCATCGTCCAGAGCAATCTGGGATGGCGCTGGACTGAATATGTGTGTCTTCCACGCTTCGTTGAAGTTGAAACCATATGCTAATATCTACTAGATCACTGGTATCATGATGCTATTCTTCCTAACCATGGACCTTCTCTTCGTCGACGAGAGCTATCCACCAGTTCTATTAGTCTACAAGGCACAACGACTCCGCTTCGAAACCGGCAACTGGGCCCTTCATGCACGCCACGAAGAATGGGACGTGACCCTCAAAGAAATATGCAACAAGTACCTGGTCCGGCCCTTCCAACTCCTCGCAACCCCAATCTGCTTTCTCGTCGCCCTCTACGCATCATTCGTCTACGGCATCCTCTATCTCAGTCTCGCAGCCTTCCCAATCGTCTTCCAGGAAATCCGCGGCTGGAACCAAGTCGTCGGCGCCCTTCCCTTCCTCGCCTACCTAGTCGGCATTATGATGGGCGGGTGCATCAACCTCGCCAACCAGAAATTTTACATCAAGCGCTTCAAAGCGAACAACAACCGCCCCGTCCCGGAAGCTCGTCTCCCGCCCATGATGCTCGGCTCTGTGCTCTTCGCCGGCGGTATGTTCGTCTTCGGTTGGACAAGCGCAAAACACTTCCACTGGATTTGCCCGAACATCGGTGCGGTCATGATGGGCTTCGGCTTTTTCACCATCTTCCAGGCTGCTCTTAACTACCTCATTGATACATTCCAGAAATACTCCGCTAGCGCGATCGCTGCGAACACTTTCCTGCGCTCTATGTTCGCGGGCTGTTTCCCGCTCTTTACGCGCGCTATGTTCCATAATCTTGGCGTTCCTTGGGCTGCTAGCGTGCTAGGCTTCATTTCCGTTGCTCTCATTCCCATTCCGTATCTATTCTACAGGTACGGGAAGCGGATCCGAGCGCGCGGGATATGGTCGCGAGATTCGGTTTAATTTTTTTGCGAATTCATTGTACATGTCTTCCTATTAAATGGGTTATGCGCACATTTGATCGCAGCCTAGTTGGATACACACGCGCATGCCTTGCATTTGATATTTGATACCCTCCGAGCGCCTCCGAGTTTCAGCCATCTCAGATTGACCCCTACAAGCCTATTATACCAGGATGTGGTCTAAAAGTCCTACTTCACTACTTTTTCTACAGGCATAATTTTCAATAGACAATTTTCCGCGTATTAGAGTATAACAAAGAAGCAGCAAGCACAAAAATAACAGGTTGAACAGGAAGAAAAATGTAAAGAGAGAATATAGTGAGTAAAGGCGATTGAATGCCGTATGTACCCAATCCAGAAGACAAAAAGCCAAAGCCACAAGAATATGGCGAAGACAACCAGAATATAAAACATGCAACATAAACACTGAGAGAAAGAAATAGCAAAGGAAAGGGTTTTTGGTGTATCCTTTTTTTTTTTTTTTGTGATTAACACCTGTTTTTGCTTTTTTTTGTTTTTCTCCGCGGATTCCAGCTCGATCATCTGATATCAAGCTCGAGTACTGACTGTGTTTCGTCCGGTCAGCTTCCGCGCTATGGTCATCGCCTTCGACCATGTCTTCTTCTTTTCGATGCGAGCGACAGGATCAGGCAATGCAGCACCGGTAGCAAGAAGCTCTGCTGGGATATCATCCTGGTGCTTGGCGTTGTGCAAAGCCAGAACGGCCATTTGGCCCAAGAAAGAGGGGTGCTCAATAAGGTCCTCTAGACGGACCTTGAGACCATCTTGCTCAAGAAGCCAGGTAAGCTGAGCCAGGTTGAAGACGTCACCGCCCAGATCAAAGAATGACGAATCCAGCTGGAAGGCGGATTGCTGGGTTAGCTTGTCATCAGCGTCTGGGTCGGAAGCCACGGTGGTGCGGCTGGGCAGGACCTGATGCCACGAGCGAGACAGAATGTCCGAATGCACAAGCAGCTCTGCGATGGAGCGCGACTTGAGGTGTGCGCTGAGGAAGTGCTCGTCTGAGGCTCGGGACAGGTCATCGATTGTCTGCGGTGGTAGAGAGCGCAGCATGCTCGCGGATGGCAGCGAGGCTGTCGGGTTGGCGACGAGGGATTGCGCAATCTCACAGGCCATGTCGAGAACCTTGGATGCGAATGATGGCATCACAGGTCCCTTTTCGGAGTAGCCCAGAGTGACATCCAAGCCTCGTTCACCGGAGGGGCGTGACACCATGGTGAGATCAGCTAGGTTGTCATTGACGCCGACACCACCCATACGGTACTTGTTGTTGTCAAGCTCCATGGTTCCTTCGTAGTCGACGTTCTGGTGGAAGACTGAGGTAGTGAAGTATGTCCAGTCAGGCCAGTCGGTACATTGCTTGATGATCTCACGGAAGCCCAGAGACTCGAAAGGCATGTTGGAGACTTGCTGGTCCTGAAGGTAGCGGAAGATATCGACAGCGGTCCATTTCTCGTCGAGCTTCACGCGCACCGGGATGACATTGACACAAGGGCCAACAGTGCTCTCAATGCCGGGCACTGTAGCGTTGCGACCGCTGATAGTCAGACCAAAAACAACATCGGACTGAGCAGTCAGCTTAGCAAGAGTTAGGGCCCAGGCAGCTTGCATGACGGTTGCGATGGTGACATTTCCGAGAGCGATGGGCGAAATCTCAATCTTTCTGTGAATCTCGGTGAATGCCCCAACGTTCTGGAACATACTGGTGCCCTTTCTGCGGACGACCTGGGTCATTTGAGAGCCTTTGAGAAGATCGGACCAGTGGCGATAATGGTCTGGGGTGATTGTTCCTGGCAACAGTCGCAAGTAACCAGCAAAGGGAGTCACCGGAGGCAGCGGCGTGCCTTCATATCCGTGCTTAATGGCAGCCATGATCTTCGGCAAGCATACTCCATCGTATTGAGTGTGAGAGAGGCGGACCAAGATACGATGTTGGTCGCTGCCCTTCTTCTTGACAACGTAGAACTGCACGTACTGCTCGCCTTCGCGCGGTCCGTATTCGCGATCTCTCTGTTGGAGGGTCATGGTGAATTCATCAAGAGCGCGGTCGGTCTCGTAAACAAAGATGCTGGGACGGATCTTGCGCAGCACGACCTGGAAGAATTGGTCATGGAAGCACACGAAGACTGTGCGCAGGATATCAAAGGCCGCGACAACCTTCAAGCAACTCTCGCGGAGGCGTCTCAGGTCCAATGGACCATTGCCTTCCAAATAGAAGTAGTTAAGCATCCATCGGGACTTGAAGAGAGTTGCCGTTAGAGACATCGCCTGGAAGTCGGTGACAGGAAGTACGTCCGCGATGCCACCCTTGAAAACACCAATCTTGGGACATATGCCGCTCTGCACAGCGGCATCGTCGATGCAGGACGGCCTGAGAATCTCTAGGCTCTCGGTAGAGGGGCTGAGCCCTAGTGTCGTTGGCGTGATATTGAGTAAATCACTATCAGCCTCCCTGGGGCCGCCAGACTTGAGATCGGCATTCAGCATTTGCTGAGTAACATTCGCAGCTCGCACTGTTGCTAGCATGTCCTCGAAGACAGGATTGTTGAAGACATCTGCAACAGTAAGAACCAGGCCCTCTTCACGAGCGGCGCTGACCATCTTCATGGCGGTGATGCTGTCACCCCCCAACTTGAAGAAGCTGTCCTGGTGTCTCACCACGTTGGGCGAGAGACCAAGAGCTGTGCTCCAAAGACTCCACAATTTACTTTCCACCTCGGCCAAAATCCCATCCTCACTGGAACGGGAAGCCACCGAACAAATACCCGAATCATCTGCTCCTTGTATACCTAACTGGTACGGCGAGTCGGCTATAGGATCAGGGTGACCACCATAGCTTGACAACTCTTCCGAGTGAATGGGAGGCACCGTCAGCTTTCCTTCTCTCAACATCCGACTAATAATCTCATGAACACGATCATCAATAATTTTCTGAATAGCACTGCTGTCAATCGCATCTCCGGTCGACTTTGCCTTGTCAGCCAGAGTGGTTTGGGAGTGATCCCAATCCAGTGACTCGGGCTCAGCCTCGGAAGCGAATGTGGACTGCGACAGAGTCGCAGCGGGAGATTCAATGAAGCTAGTGAACACCTTGGCGACGGTGTCAGCCAGAGCCTGGGCCTCCTCGTCAGACACAATATCGTTCCAGTATCTCAAAAGAATGCCCTCCTGGCCTCGGGCAATCTCAACATTCACGGTGACCGCATACTGTATTCAGTTAGTAGTTGAACAAAGCATTGATAGGGCTTATACTTACTTCGCTCGGATCATGTGCATGCTGAAGATCGAAGGTCAATCCCTTCTCCTTAGGACCCGCAACGGAGTGATTCTGGATTGACAAGGTAGTATTGAAGAGCGACTGTCCTTGCCAACCAAGCTCATGTTGGATGCTGGCCAGAGAGCAGCTTTGGTGGGGAATGCAGCGGATATAATCATCCTGAACATTCTTGGATACATCCATAAGAGTTTGTTGGTCGGAGAACTGAACTCGACAGCAGAGCATATTAATAAAGATTCCAACCATGTCCTGGATGCCATTGACAGGGGCATCCCGACCGGCAGAAAGGTATCCGAAACACACGTCATCTGAGCCGGTGAACTGTCGCAGGACGAGCGCCCAGGCGGACAGAGTCAAGTTGGCAAGTGTGACAGAGCTGCGCTCGCAGAACTTGAGCAGCTCAGGGAATCGCTCGAAGTTCATCATGACACCCTTGAGTTCTCTCTTGGCTTCGAACACAGCCGACGGCGCGAGGTGGCATGGGTGAACTCCACCAAGGTATTGTTTCCAGTGACTAAGTGCATCACTCTGGCTCTGGGTTCTGATGAACTTGATGTAGTCGCTGAAGCGAGGTCCTGAACCCTCAGCAATCTTTCGCTCGTAGGCAAGAGTCATGTCACGGAGGAGTACATCCACCGATCCACCATCGATAATGGCATGGTTGATCTCCAGCTTGAGGATCACACGTCCGGTGTTTGTTTTGCAAACAGTCATTTGGTGAGAAAGCTTCGATTGGCGCATTGCGTTTCTGGCATGAAGAGAGATAGCAGCCAACTTCTCCTCTACCTGCGAGTCATGACATTCCACGCGGAGGATATTATCGGAAAGGTTCTTGAGCACCAGTTGATCGAAAGATCCACCAGTGTAGTTGCTGTCAACGAAAATTGTTCGCAGCACAGGATGACGGTCGACGAGGGTTTGCCAGGCGCGGGCGACTCCTTCGGCATCAACCTTGCTAGATTTGGCGTCTTTGATCTCAAACACAGTATGGAACATGTAGGCGTTGGGATCGCGGAGCTGACTGAGCAAGAGGCCCTCCTGCATGGGAGAGCAGGGATATATGTCCTCGACCTCATCCTTGTTCCGAATGCCGGCCTTGCGGAAGGTGCTGGCTGTGAGCAGCTGGAGGCCGTGATAGTTGATGGGGAGGAGGGGGTAGTCGCTGAGAGTAGGCTCGGGGGTAGCCGTTTTCAGTGTGAGGATATCCTTCTCGAGGGTTTGCTTGCACTGGACAATCCAGCGGCGGATTGAGCCCTCATGCTGCATTTTGTGGTTGTAGGTGAAAGCAACATTGAGGCGGTCTTTGATCACAATAGCAGATACTTCGAAGAGTGCAAACCGAGCAGTCTCAGGGCCCATATCACCTGCGATAGCAAAGTCTGAGCTGTCGAAGACAGTACCGTGGTGATGGAACAAGGAATCGGCTCGCTCAAGTTGCTGCATTTTACCCAGGTAATTGAAAAGGATTTCCAATGGGACAGGGAAATCAGTACCCTGGCCCTGTAGAAGACTTTTCGCGAAGTAAGGACGGCCGTTGTCTGCGATCTTACGCCTGGTGTCTTTGACACGCTTGATAATGTCGTTGAGGGCACCTTCTAGTGTCAGCTTTTTGTCGGTAAGATCAGGTATGGCAAACTTACGAGCTTCTGAATGCACTTGCAAAGGCGCCATCGTGGTAAACCAGCCAACTGTTCGCGAAAGATCAATGTCGGCTTCCCAGGGTTCTCTTCCATGTCCTTCATTGTAGATAGTCGGCACCTTGCGATCGGTGAAAGTGCGACCGAAGGAATGAATGATGGCAGACAGCAAGATGTCAACAGTGTCTGTGCGGAAGACACTGTGGCAGCCGTCAAGGATAAATTGGGTGGTATCCTCACTCAACGTGAAGGATTCCATCTTGATATCTCCATAAACATTGGGTAAGTCTTGCATGCCCCAGTAAAGCAAGTCCGGCTTCTCCGGGGTGAAAGGCAGAGCAATCGACGCATCGTGCGTCTTGGCTCTCTCCGTCTGCATGGCACACCAGCTTTGGAAAGACAATGCCTTCTCGAGTGAAAGAGATCCAGAGACAACGAGCTCTTCGAGATCCTGGAGGACGATGCGCCATGAGACCATATCAATGCAGAGATGGTGAGCGACGAGGAATAACACCTGGCCACCAGCGCGAAGGTTAAAGAGGTCGGCTGCCAGGATAGGCCCATTGAGAGGATCCAGACAATTTTGACTGTCAGCAATCTTCGGAACCATCGCTCGGGTATCGCCCACAGAGTGAACGCGGAATCGGAAAGATTCATCGACCTCCTGTGAGGTTGAGTTAGAACATGTTGAATGATGATTTTGTATTGAGCTTACCGCTGCAGTTTTCTGTTGCCAGGTGCCGTCGCTAGATGTGCTGAAGCGTGCGCGGAACATGGCATGCTGGCCGATAACAGCCTTAATAGCGCGCTTGAGCACCTCGCCCTCACAACGGCGAGTGATGCGAACAGTGATGCTCTGGTTGAAACGAGCGGCTCCCTTGAAAGAGTCTGAGCACTGGAAGTAGAGTCTCTGGACGGGCGAAAGCGCAAATCCTTCACCAGACTTCTCTTCACGCCGAGAGACAGGTGCCTTAGAACTGGCGGTTTGAGCAAGTTCCTTCACAGATCTGCTCTGCAAGATGTCGTGGAGTGTGAGAACAAGTCCCTGCTTGCGGGCGCGGGAAATGACAGCCATTCCAGTAATGCTGTCACCGCCTGTGAGGACCGGTTAGTATGTTGACTGTTTCGAGAGGATGGGATACTTGCCCAAGCTGACGAAAGAGCGATCGACATTGACCTTCTGTGTGGAGATATTCAGAACCTGAGCGAATATTTCGCGGACGATGTTGAGAGATTCATTCTTCTCTTCCTTTTCTTGCGGCTTCTCTTCGGTCTTGCCACGCTTGATACGATCGTAATCGGCCATAATACGCTCGTAGGAGGCATCATCAATGTCCTCAATCCAAGCGGTGATCTTCTTCCGGTCGAGCTTTCCAGAAACTAGCATGGGAAGCTTCTTGACGAGAGCCCACGTCTGGGGAACCATGTAAATGGGGAGCTGGTTCTCAAGATTCTTCTGCACTTCGACCAGCTCGTTGTAGGCATGACGCTCAAGCTCATCCTCATCAACAAGCTCGCAAGGCTTGTCGGAGATTAGCGAAGTATCGGCTGCGACACTGTTCAACGACATGACAGTAACCAGGCGCTGCTTGAGAGGGCCATTCTTGGCGAGAACGACGACAGCATGCCGAGTAAGAGCATCCTCAGAAAGGCGATGTTCAATCTCACCCAGCTCCATCCGTTGGCCGTGCAACTTGACCTGGTGATCCTTCCGGCTGATGTACTGAATGGAACCATCAGGGTTGTAGTAGCAAAGATCGCCAGTCTTGTAGATTCGGCGAGGACCCGGGACTGTGGGCGTGAAGTCCTTGGTCCAGGCAGGGTCAGTGGTGAATGCTTCTGCGTTTTTCTCGGGATTTTTGAGATACTCCCTAGCCAAAGGAGTGCCTTCGAGTGCAAGTTCACCGACTGCGCCCAGGGGAGTCAGCCGATCGTGGTTGTCGGGATCAACAATCCAGGTAAGAGTGCTGGGAATACCGTAACCGATACGCCCGGGATCACGATTGGTGGCCACGGCATTATCGACCACAGCAAAGACACACGTCTCGGTCGGTCCGTACCCGTTCATGAGGTGAACAGAGTTGGCCCACTTGGTGATGACTTCATTGGACATCTTCTCACCACCACAAACGAGGTGCTTAAGGGAAGGCACTGAGGATGGCTCGATTATACTGGCAATTGAGGGGGTGAGGAAAGTCCAAGTGACATTGAGTCGACGGATTGCGCCGGCAACATCGTTGAGACGGTCGTCCTCGCTGGGCACACAGATGGTACCTCCGAGCATAAGTATTGCAAGAGTCTCCATGACAGCAGCATCGAAAGTGAGAGAGGCGAATTGGAATACTCTGGAGGTCTCATCCATGCGAACCCACGGCGCGAATGCCATGATACTGCTGACTACGTTGCGGTGCTCGACAATTATTCCCTTGGCGCGACCGGTGCTGCCAGAGGTAAATAGAGCGTAAGCCATATTGGAGGGTTTGACTTCAGCGCGGCGACGGGCAGAAGACTTGAGGGCACCGTAGGCCTTGATGGTCTCCTTGCTGATGGGGATAACAGTCTTCATCACTCGGCTGTAGCGGTTTGTATAGTTGGGAGTGCAAAGTATCATGTTGGCACCAACGTCTGCGAGGATTTCCTCATGTCGCGAGGTAGGATGGGACGGATCCAAAGGCACGTACCCACCACCAGCAATGAGAATACTGATGAGCGTGACCATTGCCCAAGCCGACTTGTCCAGGCAGACTGGAACAAATACCTCTGGGCCAACTCCGCGAGAGACCAGATAGTTGGCAAAGCCAGATGCGAGATCCCAGAATTCTCTGTAGGTGAGGTCGCCATCCCAGGCACACACAGCCTGGGCGTTTGGGGTCTCGTCGGCCTTCTCACGAATGAAATCTTGGACGGTCCGTTCCACAGTGAGCGGGACACGTTGGTTCCACGTACCGATTTCAACCTTGTCTTCAGGGCTAATGACCTCCAAGTCGCCGAGCTTGCTCGTGCTGTTCTTGGGCAAGGCAATCAATTGCTGGAGAACATGGGCAAATTGTTCAGTGATACGCTTAGTCTGCCATCCATTGATCACAAGCTCATCATGATGAACAGTGAACGAAATATTTGTCTTGGTAATACCACATTCCACGACAAGAGGGTGTGTGAAGAAATCTTCGCTTGTTTCACGTTTCTCGTCGATCCACATTTTATTATCAAGCTCACCGTCACCTGGTTGGATTACAAGCAGGTTCTTGAAATCGCAGCCCGTGGCAGTGTCTTTGCTGAGCTGGCGGACATGTTGAAGACCAGAGTGTAAGTGTGGAATCATCTCGGTAGTAGACTGGTGGATCTTCTGCAAGTATTGCATAGTCAACATGGTATTGTCAACCTGGACACGAGTGGGGACGGTGGTCAGGACAGGACCAGCAATTTCCGCAACACCGGGAAGATCGATATTTCTGCCCGACAAAGTCTCGCCGAAGCAGACATCACCAGACGCCGTGTGGGTAGCAACGACGATTGCCCATGCAGCGCGGAGGAGCACAGGGATCGTGAAGTCAACGCTATTGCGAGTGCGGGAAGCCTTGATGCTGTGGTGCTGAGTGTTGCCAGCACGCATTGCATCAGGCACTGCACTCTTGTTATGAGGGAAAGGACTGCTCGAAAGGTCGCTCAAATAAGACTTCCAGAATTTGTCAGACTCTTCCATATCCTTTTTCACCAGGTATTCAATGAAAAGACTGTAAGGAGTGCCAGCGCGTTTGTTCTGCGAGGCAAAGTAGTTCTCCTCAACCTTGCGGAATACCAAAGGAATACTCCAGCCGTCATAAAGGGCATGATGAACAGACCACACAAAGTAGCTATCAGAGGAGCCACGAGGGTGCACCATGGCGTAACCGGTCAGAGATGCTCCATTGTGCTTTGGTAGATGAAGGATGTCGTTGGGGAGGTCGTCGAACGACTCTGCTTCGACCCAGGAGATAGGGCCGTCCTTAAGGACAACTTGAGCGAAGTTCATGGCTTCGGTATGGACAATGCGAGTGCGAAGGATATCCAAGTCTGCCACGGTTTGTTGCCAGGCTTGTTTGAATTTAGCAACATCAATGCCAGCAGCAAGACGGAACGAGGGCTGAGCAACATAAGCACCGTGTTGCTTGATAGATAGCGTCAAAAGGCCCTCCTGTACGGCACTGCATGGATAAATATCGCTGATGAGGTCCTTGGACACTTCGCAGTTATCAGTCACTTCATCCATCAAGTTCTCGAGGTAGACTCCAGAGGGCAGCAATGAGAACGCCTTGACGTTCTCTTTCTTAACCTCAGCGGCTCCATTAGACACGACGCAGGTCTTGGCCATGTCGATCAAGATTGGGGAGTTGAAGATGCTCGAGACGGTAAGTGCGATACCGTCTGCTTGAGCAGCACCGACCAGGTTCATGGCGGACAAGGAATCACCACCCAGACCGAAAAAGCTGTCATCGGCGGTGACAGACCCGGCTTCAAGCTCGAGGATCTTTTCCACAAGTGCCACAAGCTTGATCTCTAGGCCGGTGGCCGAGGAAGCCTCCCTTCTGTCAGAGGTGTTGAAGGTAATGTAAGACTTCAGAGTATCCTTGGACAACGTCTGCACCATGGCCCGCAGTCTTCGGCGGTCAATCTTCCCGGAGGAGGTGAAGGGCAAGTTGCGGATGGGGAAGAAGAGTCGGGGCATCATGCTCTGAGGCAGAAGCTCGGGTAGAGAGCCCTTCAACTTCTGAATGGCATCCATGTTAGACACAGAGATAGGCAGTAGCAGGGGATCGGCTCCAGAAACCGTGGGGACAAATTGATCGCTGCTGCCGCCGTTGGAGTCCGGATCATGCACGGTGAAGAACGCGGCGAGCCCCTTTGCGATGGTGCGTTCCTCGGGAACAACAACATCAACAGCGACCTGAGAGTCCTCGGGTAGGCAGCGAAGACATTGCTGTTCGATCTCCTCGAGTTCGATGCGCTGGCCATTGAATTTGATCTGAGTGTCTTTGCGGGAGATGAAGGCTAGACTGCCATCGCTGTTGTAGCGAACAAGATCACCAGTCCGGTACATACGATCATTTCGCTTGAACACACCCTGGAAGCCGGCATGACGGTTCCAAACAGGATTCTCGAAGAAAGAGGCCTTCGTCTTCTCCTCGTTCGCAAGGTATCCACGGGCAATGTTGCTTCCTTCGAGGATCAACTCGCCAACAGCACCAACGGGGAGAAGTCGGTTGGAATTGTTCGGATCCACGATCCAGACTCTGCAGTTTGAGGCCTTTCCAATAGATGTGGGATCATCATTGACACGCTTGCCATTCCAATCAACCTTGACACCAGCTGTGGCAACGACAGTGGCTTCGGAGGGACCATAGGCATTGATGACGCACCGGTCTCCCCAGCGGTCGATATGGTTAGCGGGCATCTTCTCACCACCTGTGATGATGACCTTCAACGTGGGAACGTTCTTCGGCTCTAAGGTATTGACAATGGCGGGAGGTGCCGTGATGAAGGTGGCTTCCATACGACGGATGGCACCACCCAAGTTGTTCATGCGTTCCTCCTCACTGGGAATACAGACACAACCACCAGTCATGAGAACCATCATGATCTCCAGAACGCTGACATCAAACGTGTAGTTAGAAAATTGCAAAGCGCGTGTTGTAGGGGTCATGTGCAGCGTATCGATCATCGCGATCGCGGTGGTGCTAAGGGCAGTATGCTCGACAACAGTCGCCTTCGGCTTTCCAGTTGTACCAGAGGTAAAGATAGCATATGCAGCACTGTTAGGGGTAGGGCGAGCACCAGGCAAAGCCAAAGGCGAGTCGGGAAGTTGGGAGATTGAAGTCTGGCAGACGGCAAACGATTTCGCGCAGAGCTTCGAAACTTTGGTGTGGACAGAAGATGAGCACAAGACAAGATGAGTACCAATTTCGTCAATGAGCATCTTCAGTCGAGAATCGGGGTGGGATGGGTCAATCGAGACGAAAGCTCCACCCGCCTTGAGAACAGCCATCTGGGCAACTACAGCCCAAGCGGACTTTTCGAAGCACAACACCACGAAGGCTTCGGGCTTAACCCCAAGACTGGAGAGATGGCGAGCCAAGCGACTGGAAACAATTTCAAGCTGCCCATAAGTGAAATTCTTGTCCCAAGAGCAAATGGCTTCCGCACGAGGGTGAAGCAGCGCCTGTTGCTGAATGAGCTCGTCAGCGCACTTCTCCACCCTAGGAGGGGATGCGGCATTCCAATCGCGGATTTGGCGAACTGAGCGCTCAGTGAATACATTGATATCTCCGATTGTGCGGTCACGGAGGTTGTGAGCGATCAAATCATCCAAGACTTGGTCAAACATGTCCATGACATGGTTGACCTGGAAGGAGGAAAGGGTTTCTGAGGAGTAATTGAAGTGGATCTCGGCGTACGAATGCGAGACTTCAGCTTCAACCAGAATTTTGTAAGCAGTGGATGTGCTTGGCTCACGGGTACTTCCTTTGGGAAGATTGGAAGCTATGCGATAGGAAAGGGAGGTATTGAAGAGGGTTGTATCATCGAGCCCAAGCTGGTGTTTGACGGCGTCTAACACAGCGACGTTTAATGCACTGTTCTCGGAGTCTGTCTTTGCTTTTTGAAGAGTCTCTTGCAGCTTTTGCTCATTCTGCACGAGGAAGCGACAGGTGGCAACTCCCTCATCCGCCAGTTTCGTGTCCAAAGCTGAGGCAGAATACCCAAAGCACACGTCGTCTGAGCCGGTGTACCAACGGAGCACAACGGCCCAGGTAAACTGGAAAAGAGTTTCCACAGGAATGCCAAACAATCTGCTGAAGGCATGAATGTTGGCTGTCTGTTTGCTGAGCGTGCGGGTGGAGCGGCCATTGTCGCTTGTCGCATGGGAAAGGGGCGGGAAAACGCAGGGCTCAACATCGGCGAGATACTCCTTCCAGAAAGCGACGTTGGCCCCGGAAAGACTTGCATGTCGTGAATCCCGATTACCAGCCTTGGATCCGTTCCAACGCTTGATGTCGAAAGCCTCGAAAGCATTGATCGAAAGCGCCTGGGTTTCGATTCTGAGGGCCTGGCGGTTTAGCTTTCCAGAAACGGTGAAGGGGAGGGAGGATATAGGGATGTAAAAACTCGGAACCTTACTACCAGGAAGACTAGTGCTCAGATTGGCGTGCAGGCTATATACGGCCTCTTTCAGCTCAGGTGTCGTGGACTGGAGGACGCGATCCCCAAAAGTGCCTGTTGTGGTATCCGAAGAAACCACAAAAGCGACGAGGGCATTGGTCTTCACGTTGTCACGTTGCAGCGGAACGCTCTCCACAACGCACTTCCTCTTGTTGCCTAGGAAGGAATCAATGCGCGCCTGAGTCTGAATTAGCTCGCTAGCCAAGGCGGATCCATTCTTATCGTTCTTTCGGCCGAGGAAAACAAGGGAGCCATCAGACTTGTACCGAACAAGATCTCCGGTCTTGAATAAGCGATGTTCATCGCCTTCTAGTTGTCCACAAAGCCAGGAAGCGTCGTTGAAAAAGTCACAGCTCTCTACAGACTGGTCGTCAAGGTATCCCCGAGCAACAACAGGTCCCTCGAGTACCAATTCTCCAACACTGCCGATTGGAACAAGGCAATTGTGGTTCGAGGAATCAACCACCCACGAAACACAAGAGGTGCTCTTTCCAATCAGGCCAGCCTCGTTGTCGTCCTGGGAACAGAACACGTGGAAGGAGGCAGCCGAGCTCTCGCATGTTCCATACAAAACCTGCAGTTGGAGATCATCGGTCTGCCAGTGGTCCAGGACACTCTGAGGAACGACTTCACCGCCCAGGGCAATCGATCGCAGTCCCGGAACATCCTTGGGAGAGAAAAAGCTTGCGGCTGTTGGGGTGATGCTAGCAACATTAACATGGAGGGCATTGATAGAGGTGGCCAAGTTGGCGGGGTCAATATCAGCCGGGATGCAAAGGCAACCACCCCACATGAAAGTGCCAAATGCCTCAACAATAAATGCATCGGATGTGTGAGGTGCAAATTGCAGGGTCCTGGAGACATCGGCAATCGCCATGGTGGTAGCGAATGCCTCGGCTCGAGTCATGACAGTTGAATGGTCAAGGACGACACTCTTGGCCGAACCAGCGGTTCCAGCAGTCATAGCGACGTACACGATGTCGGATGATTGTGCCACGGGGTTGAGAACCTCGTCGGCGAGGTATTCGAGGAGAGACTCGCTTACAGGGATGACGTACGGTACAGCATCCTCGAGAACCTGGGCCTTCTCCGGGGAAGCCAGAGCGACTTGCACAGCGTTGTCGACAATCCAATTCTCAACAAGAGCCAAACTCTGGGGTGTATCAACTGGAATACAGCCACCACCGGCTTTCATGATTGCCAGTGTGGAGACTATGTTCCACACAGACTTCTCGAAGCAGATAGGGATCAGGGTGCCAGGACCAACACCGAATGTGACAAGGTAGGTTGCCAAACGAGAGGAGAATTGATCCAACTTCGAGTAAGTTAAGTTGCCATCCCAAGCGGTGACAGCCAACGCATCGGGGAGCTTCTTCGCCATCTCTTGCACAACCTGATGAGCGCACTTCTCAAAAGGCTTGGGAGTCTTGCTGTTCCACGCCATGATCTGGGTGCGGTTGTCGTCGCTCAAGCTGTCTAGCTGGCGGATTTCACCGTCAATGTTCGACACGACGTTCTCAAGGCAACGGAGATAGGTATTGGCCACATTGGCAGCCTGTGAATCAGACAGGTTCGTGGTCCAGTAGTTGAGGTCAATTCGAGCAGTGGTATCCATGGCCTCAATGTTGATGAAAACCGGGAACTCGGCGGGATCATGGATTGAGCCAACCTCAACACACTCAATGTCACTGCTGACAGCATCCTTGGAACTAGGAAGCCGGCGGTAGGAGACACCGGAATTGAACAAATTCGTGTCAGACAGCTTCAAAGCATGTTGGATATCAATGAGCGAAGTGTGTCGGTAAGGAAGACTTTCCATGTAGTCGTTCTGTATTTGATGCAGTACATCACTGAGCTTCGCGTTATCAGGAACCTTCATGCGGCAAACTAGAAGGTTGATAACTGGTCCAATGACCCACTGGACGCCCTCAGCAGAGACATCACGCAGAGATGCCATGTAGCTGAAGGAGACATCTTCGGATCCACAGAAGGCGCGGAGAGTGAGGCCCCACGCGGCATTGAAGACATTTGCGAGAGTGATTCCGCGCGTCTCACAAACAGTTTGGAGTTCACTGAGCGCGCCGAAGTTGACTGGAATGGACCGAAGTGCCTTTGGCGATTGTTGGCCGTCAGTGAGGGCAGGGAAGTGGCACGGCTTGGCTTGGTCCAAGTACGAGCGCCAGTAATTGATGCTAGCTTCCTTTGGTGCATCCTGGAGGTACTGAATATAGTCCTTGAACAAAGGCTGAGGGCTTTCCTCGAGTCTGCCAGCGTATGCGAGCTGCAGGTGACGGAGGATGATTGAGATAGAGTTACCGTCCATCGCAGCATGGCTAATCTCAAGGCGAGCAAACAACCTTCCAGCGGGTGTCTGGCAAATAGTGAAGCGATACGCTGGTTCTGGCTCGCTGTAATCCTTGGGATCCTCCTTGTCAAAGGTGGCAATCACATCATCTTCCGATGAAGACTGCAAAAAGATAGGAGTAACATCATATCTCTTCAGTACGACTTGGCAGAAGGGGTCCCGAGGAGTGAGGTTCTCAACGAAGATGGTGCGGAACATCGCATGATGAGAAACGACCTGCTGCCATGCATTGATCAAGCGATCAAGGTTTGGCTCGCTAGATCCGGTGGCCCGAATTTCAAAGGTGTCGTGGACAGCGTAGTAGGAGCTATCTCGCTTGCGACCAAGGAGGATACCCTGCTGCATGCGAGAACAAGGGTAGATATCTTCAACAAGATCAGGGGACTCGATACCCAGAGCAGGCAACTTCTCATTGAGCAATTTGTCCAAGGTAGGATAGCTCAACGACAACATGGGGAACGAGCTGAGAGTCAATCGTGGCTCGAGGGTGGGAAGCTGCTCGGAGAGACTTATAAGCAGCTTCTGACATTCGGAAACCCATTGGTGAATACGGTCCTGGTGTTGCATAAACCTGTTGAAGGAGAAGTTGAATCGAACTTTGCCGGCCACGACCATCGCAGAGATCTCAAACAGACCAAAGCGGGGAGTATCAGCACCAAAGTCTGCGGCACCGCCTCCTTGACCAGCCTCTCCGGCCATTTGATCAACAAGCTGGAAGAGACCATCTGTCCTCTGTAGATCTCGGTGTTGTCCGACGTAGTTGAACGACATCTCGAAGGGGTGGGGGTGCTCCGACTCTCGATTTCCCTCGGCTGGCAGAACGCGGCTGGCGAAATCTGCGCGACCATTATCCGAGACACGACGGCGGAGATCTTTCACCTGCATGAGGGTATCAACGGGGTTGTCGGAATTGTAGGCAGAGACGAAGATTGGGTGCAGAATGGTGAACCATCCGACAGTATGCGAGATATCAATGGATGGATCCCAGACTTCTCGTCCGTGACCCTCATTGTAGATAGTTGGAAGAGAACGATCGGGGAAGGCTCGGCCAAATGAGTGAAGCATAGCTGCCAGGAAGAGATCAATCGGCTCGGTGCCGAGAGCTTTGTTACATTCCAGCAGAATTGCATTGGTGTGGGCAGGGTCGATCTCGAACGAGGCACAATCCACATTACCATATGTAGTTTGAGTGTCCTTCAGTCCCCAGTAGCCAAAGTCGGTTGGAGCGAGAGTGTCGGTTGCAACTTTGTGCTCATCCCGGAGGATCTTGCAGTGCTCAGTCTGCAGACGGCACCAGGTTTGGAAAGGCAAGGAGCTATCGCTGGTTTCCGTCTTCTCGGGATTTAGGATGATGTCTTCCAAATCTTCCAGAATAATTCTCCACGAGACAATGTCGACAACCAAGTGGTGAGCTGTCATTGATAGAACATTAGGCTGGTCCTTCACCAAGAAATAATCGACCGCAAGCAACGGTCCAGAGAAGCAGTTGATTGAGGATTGGCTGTCAGCGACATGAGTCTTGACCTCGTCCATGCTGCCAAGATTGTGCATCCGCCATCTGTAAGATCCCTTGATATCGCGAGTGATGTGTTGATTCGATGCCGTTGCGAATCCTGTGTCAGTAAATCGCGCACGCAGCATCGAGTGGCGAGACACCAGAGTTTCGATAGCCTTTCGGAGGGTTGTTTCATCGACGGGCTTGTTCAAACGAGTGAGGATTCCTTGGTTGAAGTGCCCTTGACCCTCCTTGCGTACACCAAAGTGAAGGATCTGGATAGGCGACAGGCTGAATGGTTCATCGACAGCTTCCTCGTAAGTCGTCAGGTGATCGATTGTCTTCGCGCGAGTTGCGAGGTCCCGGATTGATTTGCTCCGAAGAAGCTCTTGTACGGAGAGAGAAAATCCTCGCTTCTTGCAGAGACCGATACATGTCATAGCTGCGATCGAATCACCGCCGAGGGCGAGGAAACTCTGATTCAAGTCAAGCTGGTTCTGGGGAATGTTGAGGACACGGCTATATACAGCAGCTAAAGCATCCTCTATGTCGTTGGCGGGCTGTGAAGCCTCTGTGCCGACGATTGCAACAGAGGTATTGTTCTGAAGATCGGGGTCATTCTCCATACCTGCGACCCAAGTGGAAATGCCCTTGCGGTCGAGTTTCCCTGATGGCAGAAGTGGGAGAGCTTCAACACACAACCAAACCGCAGGGACCATATAAGTGGGGAGGCGACCCGATAGGCGCTCTCGAATTCCTGGGACAAGCTCAGCCTTTTTCGAGGCGGAGACAAGTTGTAGAGGCTCCAAATCCGAATCAGACTGTTCCGCAAGCAATCCGGTGGAAGAGACAACTGCGGCCAACCGTCCCTTGGAGAAACCAGTCTTGGGGAAAAAGACAGAGCAATGAGTGACGTTCAAATCTTTGCTGAGCTGATTCTCAATTTCGCCGAGCTCGATGCGTTGTCCGTGAACCTTGACCTGCGTATCTTTGCGACCGATGTAATTCAGGGCACCAGATTCGGAGTTGTACCTGACAAGATCGCCTGTCTTGTAGAATCTACGGTTAGAGCCACTTTCAGGGTCCAATGTAGTCCAAGCAGGGTCGTAGATGAACGATTCGTTCGTCTTTTGTGGATTATTCACGTAGCACCGGGCCAGGGGTGGGCCCTCCAGAAGTAGTTCTCCGGGGCAGCCCACGGGAACCAGTTCATCGTGGTTATCAGGGTTCACAAGCCAAGTCCGCACACCAATTGGCAGGCCGATATCTTTACAATCGGTGTCAGGTGTAACATTGGAATTGAGCACGGATGCCACACTGGCCTCGGTAGGTCCATAACCATTGACCAGTTTGATTTTGGACCAAGTAGCCAGCTGGGACTGCGACATTGCCTCTCCGGCCAGGACCAAACTCTCCAGTCCTGGAACATTCTCGATTTCAATAAAGCCGATGAATGACGGGGTGAAGCAAGCTTGGGTGACTCGCATCTCGTTGATGGTAGTCACAATATCGTTGAGGCGAGCTTCCTCGCTCGGAATGCACACACATGCGCCATGAATGAGCGGCGTCAACGCTTCGGCCAAACTGGCATCGAATGTGTGAGCGGCGAATTGGAGGCATCGCGACTCGCGATAAATGAGCAAACCGGGTCCATGCACCATTGCGCCGGACAAAAACGCGCGGTGCTCCAACAGGGTTCCCTGCGAGACATAAGTCAGCTACTCCTGCAGGCAACTATATTTAAATATTCACAAAGGGCTAACCTTGGGTTCTCCTGTTGATCCAGAGGTAAACAGAACATAAGCCGCATTTTGACCCGTGACACCGGATGCCAGATTGACATTCTCGGCGGGGTCAGACAGGGGATCTAGAGTATCAGCAGAAAGGGGTATTAAAGTCTTCGCAATAGGACGAAGTTTTTCGGCAAGATGCTGAGAGCACAGCACAACCGGCGCCTGAACCGATTGGATGAGAGCTTGTAGTCGGGAAGTTGGGTGAGTCGGGTCCAATGGCACGAACGCGCCGCCGGCTTTCATCACGCCAAGCATTGCCACGATGTTCCATTTCTGCCATGTCCCGTCAGTATGCCTGCAACGAAATAAATTCTGGAACATTGATCCATCCATGAAACATTCCACTCACCGATTTATCGAAACACAAAGCCACGCGGATTTCCGGCCCGACTCCCTGCATGCGAAGATGGCATGCAAGCTTCGATGCTTGGTGGTCCAACTCGGCGAACGTCAAACTGCCATCCCACGCACACACAGCCTCACGATCAGGGCCGCTCAACATTTGATCGTGGATAGCCTCATGAATGCAGCGATCGTGAAGCTGCGGCATGGTGGAGTTCCAATTGCGAATGCGTTGCCAGTCGTTTTCCGAGAACAAATTAAGCTGGCTAATAGCGGTGTTCTCGGAGGAAAGGACTTTGGCAAGCAATTGCTCAAAAATGTTTCCAATACTCTTCATCTGCTCCCCGGACATGTCACCTTTGTGCCATTCAAGGAAGATGCTGATGTCTCCACGCAGCACCTTAACATGAAGACGGACTTGACACTGCGCATTGTTAGAGAATTGCGTTTCTGTCTGAACAAAATCAGGTTACTGGATTAACTAACCTCGTCCGGAAGAGCTGTTGCCAAAATAGGTTTTGAAGAAGAAGCAGTGTGGTCATATGTGCGCAGCATCAAGATGGTGTTGAAAGGGAGATATCCCTCGGAAGTGACGTCCGAGCTGCCATCGAGCTGGCGATTCGCACTGTCTGCGCGCACCTTATCTACAATTGCCGTAAGAGAGTCGTTGTCGTTGATGGATATGCGAATTGTCGAAATATTGACACCGGTAGAACGCCGTACAGATGATTTGAGAGAGCGCGAGTCGCCCTCGAGATGTTGGTAACCAAAGCATATATCCTCGGAACGGATATAGTAATGCAACAAGAGAGCCCAGGTGGCTCGTAGCATTGGGTCCAGACGGCCTTCGTTCGATGCGGTTAATAACTGCGCATGCTGAGCAGCCGTTGGTCTCGTCTTCATCGAGACTGGGCGTTTAGGCCCGTCAATCGTCGACGCGAACCGCGGAAGATAACACTTGGTGGATTGAGCCATGCTGTCTAATGACTAGGTATTACCAGGCTGCCTTCTATTTCGTTTTGTGTTTTCCGGTCGATAAAGAGAGTGTGGGCCTAAGGTACGAAGAACGAATGACACTATTAGTTCGACAGTGGTTAAAGAGCGCCGCGAATTCGGACGGTCTCGCCTTATTTTAAAGAACCAACAAGTTTTTTTTTTTTCTAAAAAAAAGTATTATTTTCCTACCCCATCGAAAATAGCTACGTTCACCGGCCGGAGACTGCATGGGCCACACTCTCAAGAATCCAGTAATAGGCGCTATATTCCTTGCATGGGGTCGAGATGAAAGGGAGAAGGATGGAGAGAGACAATACGTGGAGCAGGCGTACTTTGGCCCCCCTGTGGAACCGATTCAGACTCTTTTCTGCTATGTATTCTTTTTTCTTGTTTTCTTTTATTTCCAAGCGAATTGCCATGTCGAATTTCTTATTTTCTATTTTGAACTGCCAATGTAACCCTTAGAAAAGGACTAGCTCACTCGACCTAACACCAAAAGGTCATCATGCAGGGGAAAGGTCCCTACACTATCTGTCTGTGTACTCTGTACTCCACAGCAACTGCTCTTTCAGAGCCCGCAGTTTCCCCGATCTAGAGCCCTTGCGGTCTGGAACGTGGGAATATCGATTCAGAGCAAGCCGTCAGGGGCGTAAGGCTTTTCAACTCCGAATCATGCTGAAATTGGATGGCGTTATCGTCCACGGGGTGCTCTTTATTTTTTGCCCTTATCCTTACAAGGTTGCAATGCTGACGTTGCTGGCGTTACTGGCTACCTGGGCATATCAAACCGCTTATAGTAAGCTGGTGGTCATATACATGTGCCCAGCTAGGATGTAGCCGTTACCTTCACTTCACACCGCGGATGAAGGCTCTTGCTTCTCTGCTGCATTGGCATCGCCACAGTTACACGGGCCTCGTGAGGCGTTTATAGGTCACGATGTACACCGACTGGTGTGCACATGGCACTGACCCCGGACTACTTACTTCAATCTCACCTCTACTTTGTACTTTAGAAGCTCTGGTGATGGGTGCATGGCATGGAAGTCCGAAAACTGGGGACTGTATGTATCAGCAAGGTGTGGCGAGCTAGGACGGGTCGAACTAGGGATCACCGCGCAGTTCAGGCACGACCGCATCGAGTAGCGGAGGTGGCGACTGGGTCCGGTGATCGGGCAAAGTTAATTTCCCGGCACCTGACATGATGTCTTGATCTTGGAAGCCTTGGAGAAGCTCAGGGGATGTTCAGGAGTCAAGAAAAACCCAAGGAAAAGCCGGCTGTGGGTCGCGGGTCCGATACCCGATCTGAGGTCATCACCCTCTTCGTTGACGGGTATCCAACTCTCTCAGTCTATAAATCAGAATATACGGGGGTAGCTATGACTTGCATCGGAGGGATACCGTTGGGAACGACACACTCTAAGACCTTCTTCGGCATAGCCGGCGATTGGATCTCAGAATGAAACTTTCAAGAGTTACAATTTACGGAGGAAATCCATATAACTAATCTAATGGGTATATGGGTACATGATGTGTAAGACACAACAGACCACGAATGGTCGTTCCTGCAAGGGCCTCCAAGGGATACGGGCGTATCCGAACCCGGAGACTCGTCGACTTGGCTGTATTTTTATAACAGTTACATCCACAATACATTCAATAGCTCAATGCTAGACGAGAATATGCGCATAAACTGAAAGTGGGACACAATATCTCACTCGGTAGCTACTCCGTACGGTTCCTCCGATCATACCCAGTTGCGTCAAAAACATGTCCTCATGGGGTGCAGTATGTAGATTGCTTTTTTCCTTCCTCGCCTTCTCTTCTCTTTTCTTGTTGAAAACTCTTCTCGGATCTGTCGCTCTCGTATGAGCAGGATCTGGACCGTACCTTTGTATGCCCACTATTCTCACTAGTCAAGATATCAGTCAAGATTTGAAGAAGCTAAGTGGATATGAGTGGATGTACATCCCACCTATAGGGATATGGCATTTTTCCCTCGGAGATCCGCACGGGAAAGGGCCGATATTGGCAATACACAAATCTGCACTAGTTGACACTTATGACAGGCTAGCCTAGCGCCCGCAGTTCGGCGTCGATTGTGGACTAAGAACAATGGAACCACCTAACAGGTTGATCTCATTGTTGATCTTTATTGATCGTCAGATAGATCACTTTATCGGGTTCTGCACGCTTTGAGCCCCAACGTAAGAGGGAAAAATAAACGAAAATTTTCCAAGTGTCCATGGACATATGGGAGTACGAAATATACCAAATGCATTACAGAAATGTCTCTCCGTCAGACAGTCTGGAATCAACTGCAGACGTGAGCACAATTGGCACAGGTGTACTCCGTAAATCAGTGGGGTCCATTATGCAGAGTATTTGCCACGCATCAACCACGCCTCGAGGACAAGGGGGAAATGAAAATGAAAACCGGCTTACCCTGGTCAATCGGCTCCATCGGGGACGATTGTTCGTCAGGCACTACAGCTGTAGGTACATATCCCGACTTATGCACATTGGCTCAGTGAGCGCCACGCGAACCACATCACGTCTTGGAATATGCAGCATTCAGGTTGGGCGGTCGCAATTGAAATCCGTAATGCCGATGACAGCAGAAAACTCCGAAGGATTCAATGTGGGCCACGCCAAATGGTTGAGTGAAAAGGAACGATTGGCCCGGATGAAATGAATATGCGAATCCTACGGCCACTACGGAGGCACTAGGAGCAAAATGTGACGCCATGGCGGTTGGAGTTGGAGATTGGAGATTCAATTTTGGAGAATTATGATTGTGACGGAACTTGCAGAAACCAATTGTATTATGCATCTTATTTCCTATGTTTTTCTCCAGATGTGGAAGATTCAGGCGATTTACTTCATTCGCCGTGTCTAACTTCAACTTCTGCGGTGAAGCAGAGTTCGAGAAATATATATCTACGCACTGAGACTGTAAGCTTGGAGAGTGAGAATAAGAATAAGAATAGAAATAGATTACATTAACTAGTTATATTAAATTCAATTAATAATAAACACTGTTTCAAGCCAGATCCGGCAGATCTCCCATCCTACAGATCTTTTTTCGCCCTCACATGAGCGGGAAGTGATTCCATTGCCCTAACTCGACACGCGCCCAGATGCCCAGACATTCGCCATTGCAACTCATTGGAGGTCATTGAGGTCATTGGACTCATTGGAGTCTAATTATTTTCTTTCTGCAAGGTAGCACGACTCCCTCGTGTCGCTCGGGATTTACTCGAGGTTTCCTTGACTCCAGGGACGGAAGGATAGCGATGCCGTGGATATCCCCCACATCCTCAAGGGGGGCGAACGAGCCTATCCGCAATTTGTCTTGGGAATCAGGACCACTATTGATGACGGAGGTGGGGTCATGAAATCACAGTCCAATCTCCCAAGGTCTTATAGTAAAACAAAAACAAAAAACAAAGAAAAACAAACCAAACCAAACCAAAACAGATGCAGCAGGATGGATCCATACACACCGAACCGAGTCTAGATGAGCTCACAAGTCATTCAGTAAAAGTATTGTTGTAAGATGGTTGCATCAAGAGCTGTATTCATTCCCGCTTTGATGCAGCCAACCAGTAGTAGGGTCAAAAGGGTAGTCTCGGTGTTTTAGTTCTCCTAGATGCAATGAGCTCCTGCCCATAGGGATGCGGACCTCGTCTAGCCCTAGGTACCTTTATTATGCAGATCTAGTAGTAAAGCTGACTGTTCTTATGTCACTTTTTGATCCATCCGATCTAGCCCAAAAAGCCGCAAGTTCCCCGAGCTCATGCATGTTCTTTTAACCATACACTCTTTTGACTTCTGATTCCCCGTGTCGCTCGTTACTACGTCTTTCTTTTCTTTAACCATCCTTCCGTCGCTAGGTGGTTCAGGAACAGTCATGACATCTTCCGGCTTTTCAGGGCCTTCGTGCCGCGATCTAGATAATACTTTCCGTATTGATGCTGGGTCCTGTCGCGGAGGATTCGATTTCTCTCTTTTATTTGAGGAGACTATCCTCGAGATATTACCTATTCTATTAATGCTAATTATTATTCCTGGCCGTCTGTGGATTCTCTTGCAAAAACGAAACAAGGTTGTGGGATCATGGTTGGTGTTCGTCAAGCTTGTAAGTTGACTGTGTTGATATACTCTGCTTTCTGCAGTTCGGATGCATCCCCCCCCCCCGGTCTTTGCAATTGACAAACTATTGGATTCAGGATACTCTTAACTAATAAACATATCTAAACAGGCGGCTTGGTTGGCACTGCTGGGTCTTCAAATTGCACAAACAGCCCTATGGGCCCTTCCAGCAGCCGACATTACCAAAGCATCGGTTGCAGCCAATGTGCTCCTCACAGTCGGCATATTCGCGCTCGTCCTGCTTTCTTATGCAGAGCACACGCGTTCTGTGCGACCCTCCTTCATTTTGAATACCTACCTGTTCTGCAGTTTGCTTTTCGATATCGCTCGTTCTAGAACTCTGTGGCTTCGCAGTGTGGACAGCTTCAATGACATCCTTGCCATTCTCGCTACAGTAGCGGTCAGTGTCAAAGCGGTTCTGTTCGTGCTGGAGGCTGTGGAGAAGAAGCACATTCTCAAATCGGAATACGCCAATTATCCTCCAGAAGCGACTGCAAGTTTCTATAACCGTGCTGTGTTCTGGTGGCTGAACCCACTGTTCAAGCTCGGCTACACCGGTGTCCTGCGTGTGGAAGATCTCTTTTCATTGGATAAAGAACTGAGCTCTGAGCGCCTACTGACTCGATTTGATGAGAAATGGAGCAAAGGTAAATAGCCATCCACGCCGATATGTGAGTTTCTATGCTAATATTTCTCTAGTGACTACTAAGTCGCCAAACACTCTCCAATGGGAGTCATTGAAGGCCGTCAAATGGCCCCTGCTTGCGGGTATCCCTGCCAGAGCTTGCGTCGTCGCTTTCAACTTCTGTCAGCCTTTGCTCTTGGAGAGATCGATCTCTTTCTTCAATTCACCTGTCAACCAGGGTACCCAAAACATCGGATACGGACTTATTGGCGCCTATATCATGGTTTATGGTGGACTCGCAATTTCAATGGGCCAGTATCAGCATCTCACTTATCGCGGCATTACCATGGTCCGTGGTGTTCTTGTCACAATGCTATACAAGAAAGCCAGCTGCTTGGGCCTTGGGGAGATCGACCCCGCCAACTCGCTCACTTTGATGAGCGCAGACGTCGAGCGCATCACACAGGGATGGCAGACCATCCACGAGATCTGGGCGAACTCGGTTGAGATCGCCTTGGCTATCTACCTTCTCAAAGTTCAACTTGGAGTTTCCTGTGTTGTTCCTGTTTGCGTCGCTGTGTTTGCTTTGCTTGGATCGTTGGTCGGGATGTCCTTCGTGGTTGCAGGACAAGCTAAGTGGCTGGAAGCTATTGAGAAGCGTATTAATGCTACTTCCGGGATGCTTGGATCAATCAAGGGAGTCAAGATGCTTGGCTTGCAAGATTCCTTCATGAAGTTTGTTCATGGTCTTCGCATCAGCGAGTTGGATATCTCCAAGAAGTTCCGTACCCTTCTGGTTATAAACATGGGTTTTGCCTGGTTGACCCGGATTTTTGCCCCCGTCTTCACCTTTGGTGTTTATGTCGGTACCTCAAGCCAGCCCTTGAGCGTCTCCCGAGCTTTCACATCTCTGTCTCTGTTCTCGCTTCTGGCAGACCCTCTCTTGACCTTGGTGATGGCACTTATGTCTTTCGCCGGTGCCGTTGGCTCTTTCCAGCGTATTCAACAGTTCTTGGACAAAGAGGACCACGTCGATCGCAGGAATAACTCGCAGACTTTGTTCCTCGATGATCTCACTGAAAAGCGTGTGCTGTCGAAGGCTAAGGACCTTGAACTTTCTTCCATCAACTCTGACTCTCTCGAGTCGCTCAAGCGCTCCAGTGCCCCGCCTTCTGGAAACGCCGTCGTTGTCCAGAGTGGAAGCTTTGGATGGGAAGCGGATAAGGATCCAATTCTCAAGGACATTACCATAACCATCCCTCAAGCCAGCTTCACGGTTCTCATTGGACCATCAGGATGCGGCAAGTCTACTTTGCTCAAAGCTTTCCTCGGAGAAATCCCCTGTTCCGAAGGGAAGGTTGCACTCGCCTTCCCCAGCGTTGCTTACTGTGATCAAACGCCGTGGCACATGAATGGCACCATCAAAGAAAGCATTGTTGCGATGTCCGACTATGATCCTCAATGGTATGCGTCCGTGATTCGGGCTTGCGCTCTGGAAGAAGACCTCTCACAGTTCCCTCGTGGGGACTCTGCTGTTATCGGAAGCAAAGGTATTGCCCTCAGTGGAGGTCAAAGCCAACGTATTGCACTTGCACGAGCAGTCTACGCCCGGAGAAAGATTATGATCCTCGACGATGCCCTCAGTGGTCTGGACGCTACCACGGAAAATCACATATTCCACAACCTTTTCGGGTCGGGAGGACTTCTGAAAGAGATTGGAACTACAGTTATCGTTGCCTCATCTTCCGTCAAGCGCCTTCCCTACGCCGATCACATCATTGTCTTGGAGGAAGGTGGTCGGGTTTCTGAACAGGGAAGCTTCGCTGCTCTGAACAAGACTGGTGGATATGTGTCAAGCTTCGGACTCGGGCTGCCTGATTGGGAGTACAAGGCTAAGCGATTTTCCGACACTCCCAGTTACGACAGCATGGACAGTATCCAAAAAGAAAAGGAGGCATTGATCGAAGAGCCTGAGCACCATGATAGGGGTGGCGATCTCGGAATCTACACATACTACATCGACGCCATCGGATGGCTCCCTGCGACTGTCTTCATGGTCGCAATGGCCGGTTTTGTGTTCTGCATTTCATTCCCTAGCATCTGGGTAAAATGGTGGGCTCAGTCCGACACTGCACACCATAAGCAAGAGATCGGCCATTACGTGGGTATCTATGTAATGCTTGGCTGCATCGCCATGATCTCACTACTCGTCGGCTGCTGGCAAATGATCATCACTATGGTCCCAAAGTCTGGCGAGAGCTTCCACCGCAAGCTGCTGACCACTGTCCTCGCCGCCCCGATGTTGTTCTTCTCGAGTACCGACAGCGGGTCAATCCTTAACAGGTTCAGTCAAGACTTACAACTTATCGATATGGAGCTTCCTGTCGCTGCGATCAATACTGTTGCTACGTTCTTCCTTTGCCTGGCACAGATGGCTCTTATTGGAGTCTCCTCCAAATACGCAGCCATCTCCTTCCCGATCGTGCTTGGTATCTTGTTCTTCATTCAGAAGGTGTACCTGCGCACCTCGCGCCAGCTTCGTTACTTGGATATCGAGGCCAAGGCTCCGCTGTACTCGCACTTCACCGACTGTCTTCAAGGACTTGTGACTCTACGTGCCTTCGGATGGGAATATGACATGGAGAAGAAGAATATCGCTCTCCTGGATCACTCCCAAAAGCCCTTTTACTTCATGTTCGCTATTCAGCGCTGGCTCACTCTGTCGCTGGACATGGTTGTGGCGGGAATTGCTGTTCTTCTGATCGTGCTGGTCGTCGCTCTGCGTGGATCAACTCTTAGTGCCGGCTACGTTGGTGTCGCGCTGCTGAACGTTATCCAGTTCAGTCAGAGCATCAAGCTTCTGGTTACCTTCTGGACCAACTTGGAGACGCATATCGGTTCCATCCAGCGTATCAAAGACTTTACGTCAACCGTCGAGTCGGAAGACAGGCCTGGTGAAGACCAGGATGTGCCCCCTAACTGGCCCTCGAAGGGTGCAGTCGCCTTCCACTCTGTCTCTGCGGCTTACAGACCCTCCGAACCAGTTCTCAACGATGTTTCTCTTACTATCCAGGCCGGCGAGAAAGTCGGCATTTGCGGACGCACTGGAAGGTAAGAAACAATCTCTAATTCAATATCCTAATTCTTGCTAACAAAACAACAGTGGAAAAACCTCCATGATCATGAGCATCTTCCGCATGATGGAATTAACCAGCGGCACTATCACCATCGATGGAGTTGACATCAGTCGACTCCCCCGACGAGCGATCCGGTCACTGATCAACGGCGTCTCACAAGATTCCCTTCTCTTCCAAGGCAGCGTCCGATTGAACGCCGATCCGACCGGCGACCACACCGACCGAGAGATCTTGGCAGCCCTCAAGAGCGTCCAGCTCCTCCCTGCGATCCAAGAAAAGGGGACTCTTGACACAGACATTGACGAGATCCACCTGTCTCACGGCCAAAAGCAGCTCTTCTGCCTTGCCCGCGCCCTCCTTCGCCCAGGCAACATCCTCATTTTGGATGAAGCCACTAGCAAGTAAGTCACTCCCCTCACTTCAAGCCACGTCTCCACTTGACAAATATCGTTTCAAATCCCCTGCATGAGATTCCATCCGGGCGCGATTAATTTCCTTCGCGTTTTGTGATCCGTGCGATTCAGCCACACACCGATAGAACCACCCCTTGCTGCAAGAACCAAGACTAACCCACTTTCTGCAACAGCATCGACACCAAAACAGATGAAATTATGCAGCGTGTTATTAGAGAGAAATTCTGCAACCACACCATCATCGCGGTCGCCCACAAGCTTGACACAATCCTCGACTTCGATCGCATCGTCGTCTTGGAGGCTGGTCGCATCATTGAGAACGGGGAACCGCATATGCTGCTGGCCGACGCCAAGTCGCACTTCAGCAACCTCTATATGAGTGTCATGGCGACCGAGGAATCAGATTAATTCCTTTGGTTTTTGGTTTTTGATTTTCGGTTTTTTAAAATTGGGTTAGGTTGTTTGATTGATTTGGCACCTATACAGGTTGACGCGTCTTCTTTCTTTCTTCTGGCGTGACAATCTTCCACATTCCCTTTTTCGAGGTACATATCGACGACAACATATTGATCTTTTGGACATTTTCGGAGTTATATATTGGTGTTCTTGCTGGACCATGTTCTTGTTACTTTTTTGTGCTGCTATGATTATTATTTACTCTCTTTCATTACCTTATAACCATGGAGTGATACTTACACATAACTCCCTTATTGGACACTCGATTCTTGATCTTAATAATCTCTAATATTAATTCAATACCAATTATGGCTTTGGCTCCTTATCATATTTCTTATCCGGTAAATCAAAAGCATTATTGCATTAGTTTTCTTCATCTGTGATATTCTATGTCTATGGTCGACGAGCGGGACTTTACAGCTTGACATACTTCTTCAGTATGATCAAAGAAGAATAGACAATATATATATAGAGTAAAGCTGGGTACACTGTCGTTTATTTCCCTTCACTTCTTATCTGTAGAAATATGGGACTTGACCGTGTTAAAGTTGCTTGATATATATATCGCAGGACTTCCATCCATTTCCAAGGGGTACCCAATTGCGCCAGGAAACATTGCACTGAATCACATTTGCTAATGCAGTCATGTATATCTGCTTTTCAGGTTATGAGCGCATTGCTCATTTGACTGTATTTCATCAACGCCTCGAGTCCTCCACTGGATCTCCCCGGACTTCCATTGCTGTCACATTCGCGCCCCACCAAGATCTACCAATCGCAGAGCTTTACCTGCCCTCTGCGAAGTCCAAGTCCATCTACATCCATACTCCGTACTCTCACCATCCATCGCTTTATCAAATGGAGCCCCCTATAAATCTTGAAGAGGTGCTTGTTGTGACCCTCCACACACCATTTGGGTGATTCACCCTGTTTGCATCATCGAAGCACATTTTCCCGTTAAATGAAGCTACTATCAGTATGTTTGAAAACCCACCAAGTCTACTCTTTGCATATACCGATTAATTCATGTTAGACAAGAGATTTCAACTCAAGGCACCGCATGCCCGGAGTCATCGGAGTCGCTAATAATCCAAATGCTACCCTCTAACCTCCGCCCAACTGTTTTTATATGTTCGAGAACGAGGTCGAACGCCCACAACTGGAGGATTTCCGACTCGCCGGATCACGGAACCGACTCCCGACACCATCGATAATAGCAAGTACGATCTTTTACGCCCCGGAGTTATGTATGTCAAGCTCTGGAACACGTTCTACCACCGACTATCAATATCTCACTACTACACCTCTGGAGTACTTGTTGGAGACTCTAACTCCGGCGAGCGATATCGCGATCGTGAGATCGCATAACAATGTAGCCTTGGAAAAAGATCTACCTTACTCCGTACAAGATTTCGTCTCCATCGATAAACTTACAGATTGCCCCTTTTCCGGCTACTGTGGTACATATGTACATGTGGGCCTCGTGGCCGGATGCGCGTTCCTAGCGATGATCCTGGTCACCGTGAATGGGTCAAAACTTGCTGGTGCTAAATGGGTCAGAGGAGATCCACTGATAATCCCCGAGATGGTATTTGCGGATCCGCGATCTGCAATGAGGATGGAAATGTCTTCCGATATGCACCGACATCAGATCAATTCCTAAATTGGCGTCTCTTCGCTAGACCTGAGTGTCTCATTGGGCGCGGTTTTAACGTTGCAGAATAGTTTAACTTTCGCTTTGCTGTCATTTGGCTAAATGCACTTACCTGCATATATGTACTCGTAGACCTACGGAGTAATTACATTCTATCTATGAAGAGTTGTATAAATATGCTCATTATGTCTCAGTCAGTATATCCGTACTCCGTACTCCGTACCTTGGTCAGATTCGGAATCCACCTGCCCAAGAAGGCGATGATTGGCCTATCCTAATTAGGTATCCTCATCCCTGGTGGATACAAGGACACCCCTTCTATTGTCGGTGCACCAGCCGTGGCTGTTGATGGGACCTGTTTTCTTCCTGCCCAGGTGTGCGCCTTCTCCACCTTTCGTTACCCAAGAATCCTGGAATATTCCATTCATGGGAACTGTCGATCACCATTTCTTCCCTCGTGGGACTTCTAATGCCCATCAAAACTACTCCGTACGGAGGAATATAATACAGTGACGCAGCAAAAGTTTTAAGCACCCATTCTACTACTACGTACCGCCTTCCTAATAAAACATACCGCCTTCTGAATTTGTAATACCGCTCGTTCCCCTCATTATTTGACCGGCAGAATTGGGTGCTGAGAATTTTGCTTTGACACTGTACAGAGTAGCCTTGGTAGCCATTATGGTGGAGCCAAACATGTCCTCTTATAGTGGTATTTGAAAGAAAAGCAAATCCTATTTTGCACCCCATCCGATTATGGACTACCCTAATAGCAAAGAAATAAAAACACCCATGTACCATACATTGAAACAAAAGAAGAATCAAATTCGACGGCCATGGCAATCCCCAAGGCCAAAATGCAAAGGGTCATAGATAAGTGCCCTGCGAAGGTACCAATTATAGAACCATCGTTTCATCATTATCCACATCTTTCTCTTCATCAAGACCAAATTCCCAGTCTCCACGCTCAATTCGGCTGACACGGTCGAGCTCAGACTGGAATTCGCGACGCAGGTGCTCAAGTGTCACGATTATACGACGTTTAAGCAAGTGGTTGGTTGCAGGGACTTCGAAGGACCCAATGCTGTTACGCCGTTCGATGGTGGAAGTTTTGCTGCTTCCTGTGCGGTGGTCGGGTGCAAAAGCGACGGCTGTGGATGTTAGGCGATTGCGTCCGAGTGGTGTAGGGGAGGCGGGGTCTACGTCCTCCATGGAGACGTTCCCTTCTTCATCGACTTGTGTTCCTAAGTGTCTTTCGTGAGGAGGAATCGGGGCCGCGCTGATTGGAGGTCCGTTCTCGACGAGGATATAAGCTTCGCTTTTGTCGACACAAGCGAGGAGGTTGATTAGAGACAACAGCTCATGGCGGATTTCCTTGCTTTCAGCATCGTCTTCCTCAACTGGCGACCGGGCTGCATCCTCCGCTTCCCTGCTTTTAAGAATGAGGGCTGATGACGGAGCATCTCGTGCTTTGCGGAGGCGCTGGACGTTGCGGTAGGCGATTTCAGCGGCTCCGCGGTAGTCACTGCGGGCAATGCGATAGGCCTGGAGAATTCGGGTGTAGTCGGGGGTAGCTGGGAAATTTTTGCTGTCCGCATCCAGCCAGGATACATTGGTGGTTTGTTTGCGGGTCAGGTGAACGAGGATCTCGTCAATGAAAGATGCGATGTTGGGCACGAGCGAGGTGGGGAAACGGAGAATCTGCTTAAGACCAGCAGTGCCAGGTCCAGAGACTGCCAGGATGGTGGAGATGAGTTCGGTAAGTTCGGTTCTTTGTAATTTGAGATCCTGCAACCTAGCCAGAGCGGAATATGCCTGGTCAAACTGGCAAGTCTTAAGGGCTCCAGTAAACAGACGAGACAGCAGATCGTCGCGTACGGTCGGGTATTCAGAGTCTTGCTCGGCCCAGATTTCAGAGTCGAGGGCCTGCAGCGCCAGGCTGGCAAAGTCCGCGACATGAGAGTAGGAGCGCACTTTTTCATAAATGGAGAGGATGTGCTGGTAATATTTCGCAAGACCGTTGTGGAAGCAGTCAACATCGAGGAGGTCTAAAAGCTCTGCTGACATGTCGGAAAGATTGCCCATCGGCTTGCCGCAAGCTGCATTTAGGTTAGCTGAGTTATATCAACATGAGAAATCACCAGGAGATACGTACAGAGTAGATAGGCTGCCTTCCGGAAATATATTGCTGCCGTATCGAATTCCGACATGGCCACATGCAATCGACCCTTGACATACGTTGACCAGGCAGTACTTCCCTGGAAACGAAGGAAGTCCCATGCAAGATCGATGTTGTTCTTGGCGATCAGGTCACACTGGATGTGAGCGACTGCGCTTGGATAGTTCACTTCGCCTTCGCGGGTAATCCAGGCCACGACATCTCTGATTCCCAAAGTCAATGTATAGCTTTGTGGAGAGTCAATCGCTTGCTGGGGCTTGATATCGGTAACAAACAGATCCTCCAGGATGCTCGTAGTTCGTTCACTGTTAGTCTTCGAGCTGTCTTTCAGTGAAAATCTCTGTGTTGAATCGACGTGGGGCTTGCTTGCCCTGTCGGGACATTGGCGGACATTAGAGCTGAGCCAGGACATCATCTCATATTCACGTAGGAGATCAACAAGCATTGAGAAAAGGTCGGACGCATCGAAGTTGGACTTGCTTGTTTGCTCCCATTCGCCATCCACGAACGTGACGAGGATTAGTAGATCAAAAAAGATTTGACGAGATATAGAGATTGTCTCCTGCGCACCACTGACGAGAACTCGAGCGCCAAACCATGTTGAAGAGAGTTCCGAGTCTTCTCCACAGAAGTGAAGGGAGGCGGTATGGATAATGGCAAGGAACGCCTCCATGGACAAGCAATCGGTCCTCATGTATTCACTAAGGGCTGCATCCAGAGTGTCAAAGGCTTTGTTGGAAATTTGATTGGCAAAGTCACAGCGCTCTCGGAAGTTCTCCATGCGGTCCATGATCGACGAAGAAGGCTCAGAAAAGATCTCGGCCTGGAGAGCGGCTCGGCACGCCCCGTCAAGCTCTGGGGAGAATCTTTTGCGGAAATCGGATGCCACCTTCAACAATCCAGAGGCTGTTTCGAAATTCGGGCCCAGCTCTCTGGAAACATTGCGATGCCTCCAGCGATCTACCATCTTCGGCACTCCATCACTGAGCTCGGAGCTGGAATTGTGCAAGAACAATTCAGTGATGCTGCATTCCCGCACTACAGCGCAAGAGTCTGACAGGAGGAGCCACGGCATATCGGTGTATGAGTCGTACGCGAGAGAAATTGGTTCGAACCGCCGCTTGTTAAGGTCTTCCGCAACTTGCCAGAACTGACGCCACTTTGAATCTGTATCTGAAAGATACCGGGGGTAGTCCATCTCATCGTCCGCAAATTTCCGAAGGGAGACTGCCGCTGCTATTGTGGAGCAGAGTCGTTCCTCTAAAGGCAGACTCTTTTTCAGCCCTCCAGATGAAGTCGACGAGAGTGGCTTGAGAGCCTCCTGATAAACAGCCAGAGCGGTCTCAAGGACTTCAGGCAGATACCTATTCGGTTGCAGGAGATACTGTAGCCACTTCTCCGTTGGATCCACCACATCATCCACGACCAGAGGTGGTGGCAATTCTTGTCGATGGGTTTCGAATGTTGTCGAAACCCAGTTAGAGGCCCAGTCCGCGACTAGGGTTTGGAGGTTGAAATGGAGGGTGTAGAGTTGGTAAAGACCGTGGTTTCTCCAGAGCACCCACAGCTCCATTCCCTTGCCTTCTTCCCGGGATTTGACCTGGAAATCAGCGATGCTCCAGAACATGTTCCCTGTGGCATCCGGATCCACAGGTCGGAAAATATCGTCTGCGAAGAGTTCCTCAATGATCAGTTCGGATGTCAGCCCACCCTTGACAGCCCAGAACTTGAACTTTCCGTCCTCAAATGGCGAATATGTGACGACATAGAAGCGATGTCCACCATGCATAGCTCGCTCGGCGTTGAAGACGCGCATGAATGATGTCTCGGCGGGGTTCAGCGTGTACGGTGCAAGATCTGGATCATGAAGCGAGCGTCCCAGGAGATCTTTTGTGGCCGCCAGCTTGTTCGTTGCTAGATTCCAAATCTTAAGAGTGTGATTCAGACAGATCGCGAAGACGTATGTCTCGTCGGAGGTAGTGGCAATGGCATTTGCGACATGCAAATCGAGGTTGCGTCCGTCGTGTTTGATCGAGGAGGGTGCATTCCATTTGACGAGGCCTCGAATCGAAGAGCCCCATGTTCGTTCGTCGAAAGTGAGAGGAGACCAATAGGAACCTAGTTTGAGAGACAGTCAATTAAACAGGTGTTGTAAAGGTAACAAGAACGAGAAGAACCACTCACCATCGTCGCCAGCTCTCCGGGTCAGCCGTAGAAGCGCGCCGTTATCGAGAGAGATGAACAACTCTAGGGGACTGCTCGCGTGTAGTCGGTGGGGGTTCGAAAAGGCCAACGGAGCGGGGAGGAACGTCTTGCACCAATCCCTCACATTTTCATCGATTGAAGAGGTCCGTCGGAAAAATTCAGGGCGTAGAGACAGGGTGTGAAGGTGCTTAGAAGCGGTGATCACAAAGACACTGATGAGTTCGTGATCCTCGGAGTCGGACATTTCAACTCCGAAGGGGAGAATCTCCTCCTGGAAATCCAGTCGCAGGGTCACATTGTATTCGTAAACCTCCATTCCACCTTTAGTCAGGTCCGCGCACTGAATCTCCAGCACTTTGTTGTCGTTGATGACCCGCCACAAGAATGTCCTCGGATAGACCCTGCGCTTCCGAAAGTAGACCTCACCCTGTGTCGCGAGGTGACGTCTGGCAAATTCATCTTCATCTTTGGCGATTGGGAGTTCCTGGTCGGTGGATGAGATCGAAAAGCGTGGACGACGGATCGCGACCTCTTGAGTCGGAATCTGGATGTTGGCGACCGTGGTCGGCGAGTAGGGCCGAAGGTCGACCCTTGAGTCTTTGTAAATTTTCGCCATGATCGAATTGACGTGTGTCAACTTAGCACTCCATGGCCGGGGAAGTAAAGGTTGGAAGATCGAAGGGCGGGAAGCTGGAGCTCTCAAAAAACATGGGAAGTCTTGGCGCGATAAAAGGCCTGAGATTGATGGCTTCCGCCCTTTGAGGTTTACTCAGACCACTTACACTCTATTTTACTCTATGTTATCTTCTAGGTGAATTGCCTCTCTTCAAAAGTTAAGAATAAACAGAAATTGTGATTTCTAATTGCTATCAAAAAAAAAGATCCCCCAACGCTGAGATGAGATGCCACGGGTCGCTCTAACCACATAAACAGCTATTGAATATAAGCTCATCAAGTCAATAATATCGTGTCGCAGAACAAGACAGGCACAACCTTGAGAAATGTCGACTCATTTATCTTCCAAGTCCTTCTCACTAGGATCACCGATACCATTATCATTGATAGCGAAAAGGCAATCACTCTCTGGAAGACAAGGACTATCATAAATCTTGCAAATTCGAGTCTCGCCACGGCCCTTCTTCAGACTGAGTCGAGTGGTACTGGCGTGGGCGATGATATTACCACCAATAGGTTTCTTGGGATCCGGGTTAAACATAGCACTGGGGCCACCATCGACTTGGGCAACGACCTGGTTTGTGATCACGACTGCAATGCCAAATTCATCTGCAAGGCGTTGCAAGGTACGCATGAACTTAGCCAAATGACTCTGCCGTGAGGCGAGCTCACCACGACCGTTAAAATCCGTTCGGTACAGAGATGTCGCGGAGTCAACCACCAGAAGAGAGAATCGCGTCTCGCACATCATCTGTGAGGCCTGGTTGAGCAACGAGAGCTGGTGGTCTGAGTTGTATGCTCGTGCATATGCCACATTATCAAGGACCTCGTCACCGACGAGACCGTATCGCTCTGCAACCGCAAGGCATCGCACTGGACGGAAAGTACCCTCTGTATCGATATAAAGACACTTGCCCTCGCCGCCACCCATATCAAATGGAAGTTGGCAGGTCACCGCGAGAGTGTGACAAATCTGACTCTTTCCCGTTCTGAACTCCCCGAAAATCTCAGTGATCGACCCCGTTTCAAACCCACCTCCGAGCAATGTGTCGAGTCTCTTGGATCCTGTTGTGATAGAGATGAGCTCGCTCCTCCGGGCATGCATTTCAGTTGCCGTGGTGAATCCCATAGGGACCAGTTTCGAGGCTAATCAGCGCGTTTCAATTAGCGAACCCATCTTCAATGTAGAACTTATCTGTCGCAGAAGAGGGGTTTACCTTCTACTAGGATCTTAGTGGCCTTTTGTTCCGAGATACCCTTAATCTGTTCCAACAACCGTTTGGGCCTAAAAGTCACAGTAGTGTTAACCAAATTGAGATGAGCAGGGCAATCGGTATAGCAGAGCTGCCGCCGGGGGGAAAAAGCCGCAAGAATGAAGATCATGGATACTCACGTGTAGGCGATGGACTCAACAGTGTTATATCCTGCATCCAGGAACAACTTAATATCCCTAGCGGTCAAGCCCGAAACACCCTATCAGAACCAATTTAATTTAGTATAAAGGTCCAACATTCTTCGGCGAAAGAATATCGCCGTGGGATTCACTCACGTCGAGCGCGGAAAGCGGAGTGGGGGCTCCAGGGCCAGGAAGTCCACTATCCTCGAGTTGCTCTTCTCCCTCCATAGTAGCAGTAGTACTCGTTTCTCGGTGTTATGAGGATCTTGATGCCTTTTGGCGGGGTCACTCGATTCGAAAGCACAGGTGATGACGCGTTTGGGGTTTGGGTGAGATGAGTACTCGCTCTTCTCGATTTTGAATATTAAACAAAGCCACGGGTTTTAAATGATCAATTAGCAAGCAGAAAATCTCTGTAAAGTCTGAAAGGTCTAAAGCGTCTGTTTGTGGCAAAAAATCTCCGGATGACTCTGAGAAACAAATCGGACGCGTCAAATGGATCGCGAGATCACGTGCAGTGCTGCCTTGAGCCTTTCCGGTTTGGCATAACGAACTATATCTCTTCCAATTTATGAATACAACATATGTGTGAAGCGCATGTATTACTTTGTTTCTCTAGTACTACCTTACGATTAAATTACCAGCAATGGTTCTCATTGGGGCGGATCAATTACTGTATTCCCAGTGGGTCGGATGCTAATGGTTCAATATTCAATAACAAAAGGTGTAAGAATACAAATCCTGCAATGGCCTGCATGCTAAGACGCCGTCTGTCCATTGAATGATATTCACTCAATGTTCTTTGAGTCATGGAAACCCAAGTGCTGAAAAACTGCCCATGAACTGCCGCAACGCCATATCAAAATCAATGCTAAATGTCCGAGCAAAAGCAGGTGTTGAAGGTCTTCGAGGTGTTTGTTGCATTCGTTTTCCTTGCGAGACAATGATTTTTTCGTGTACTGTATCTCCCTACTGTTGATTCTCAGGAGAATTGAGCCACGGACGGAAAGGACGAAGCAACGACTTCCGGAACCGTCTCTGATACTGACGCAGAGCCGGATTAAACTCCAGCTGCTCGGCTGGCAGTCCGATTTGGATATTTTCGTTGAAGATCTGGCTTATCCTGCGTCGGAACTCTTCTGATGATCGCCGGCGAAGACGGTCTATGAATGAGGCGCATTAGTTTCTGTGTTCAATTCCTAAATCGTGGCAAATTAAACTTACTCATGGTTCGTGAGCCCCGCTTGCTCTCTGGTGAAGGACCAGATGGTGACTCACCGATGGCTGGGACATATTTCATGCCGTCATCAACGCCGTCCAATCCTACTCGATAATCCTTCGTGTCGGGATTAGAGGTTGTACCGAATATTCGCGTGTGAAAGCTAGCACGCTTTTCCCTAACTGTTGTGTCCTTCATGCCGATCATTGACTCCTCTCGCGCAGGTGACATGCGCATGGAATCTAGGTTGAGCAGACTAGATCGGCCATAAAGTGCGCTGGGTCTTTGGTTCTCGTAGGTGAAGCCTGCGGAGGCTGGGTTGAGCTCGGGAACGACTTCACGTCGGGCAGCCAGTGGCATGGGCTTTGGGTTGATCAAGGAACTGTGAGATTCCACCGAGGAGCTGGGGGTGTCAATGGTTCTATACAGCGACCTTGGCACTGGACTGGCCGGTCGACTTGGAACTGGACTTTGCGTGGGTGTGTTGGGATCTGAGACCCAGATCCCTTCCACTCCTATTCCTCTTTCCAAAGCTCTGGCACCGAAAGGGATGTCATCCTTGTGCAGCATTGGGTACACCTCAGCTTCCTCCTCTCGTTCTTTTGCCTCTGTCGCAGTGTGTTTGCTCATCGTCCAGCGATTCCAGCCGAGGACGCAAAAGGCGTAAAGGAGCACTAGGATCTGCGAAGCTTGTCAGTTGGCGTCTTTGTGGCATTATCATGGAGTCACGTACGATCAGCGTAGCTAGTACCTGTCAACGACAATGGTCAGCAGGGGACCTCCGTGGTCATGAGTGTATACTTATACTTACCACAGTCAGCTTCTCCCATAGCTCCCAATCTACCCAGAACGTCATAGTGGCCGGTTACTTTGAACTGTATTCGGGCTTTACCGTGAAGAACATCCGAGTAAGAATGTGCAGACTTTCTTTTGGGGCACAGATGAAAGAGATTTACGGATAAAAAGATACTGGAGAGGGATTCCGAGGTCTTAGGTTCGAGCAAAGGTGATCTCTTTCCGGGAACAGGGAAAGGGCAGTGGTGGCAGGAGCGCCTGCTTAAAGCATGTCCGTATAGTTCTGGGTTTTCTTTCCTTTTTGTTTTTTCCTTTTCATATTCATGGTCTCTAGTACGTAGGCCATAAGCATGCGGGCATTTATGATTTACATACTTCATTGACTGTGGATACACAGTGTCCAGTTTTGAATTGCAGCTATGAACAGCTACTGAGACGGCCATTCAAGAGAGGGACAAAAAAATTAGCTCCTAATGTTGATTGCCATATAAAAAAAAGAAAATACAGAAAAAAAAAAAAGAAATCTCTCCCTCGGGGAATCGAACCCCGGTCTCCCGCGCTTATCGGTTTTAATGACAAGCGGAAATCATCACCACTAGACCAAGGAAGAATGCGATGGCCGAGTTACTGCTCGGCCACTTGGCTGGTTGATATTGAAGAGTCTGCCTTCTTGATCTTATAAATGAGAAATAACAAAAAGTCTTCATTGGTCATACGAGGACATTATGAAAGCTACTTTTCGCCTTTATTTCCTCATTCTTTTCAAGGTTTCTTGGCTCTTCTCTACTTCTAGTTATTATAACCTTGTGTTGGCACTAGATGTGTCAGGAAGAGTGAAATTAATTGACTCAGACGCACTTGATTATATATATCTCTCTCAAAACTCAGTTAACCACCAAAACAGAAAAAGTCACTAAATGCTACCTGATATGTACTCGAAACACTTCAACGAGCCCCAGGCTTGGCGTTTCCTGGGAGACAAGTATCCAGTCTTGTCATCCTGACAGCCCTTAAAAGCCGCATAGGTCTCTCCTATCCAGTCCTCATCCACACATTTCGAACCCGAATACATATAACACTTGCCACGTGTGAGATACAATGACTTAGGCTTTGTCACTTTACTGGAAGCACAGGTGCCCCAGTTGAGACCACCGTTAGTCCACCATCGACAGGACGTGGTTGTATTCGATATTGTGGTGTCGGTATTGTCAGCGAGAATGATACAATTCTCAGTATCTTGAGTTTCGTGTCCTTGAAGAGAGAAGTAATCGCCTGTACAACCAGCACCTTCGTATATTGTCATTTGCCAAGTCGCAGACGGAGCGACACTGCTCGTGGTTTTTGTTACCACTTCTATGCTAGTCATGGTTACCATGTTCACCTTCTCAGTAGTAGTCTTTGAAGTAGTCGATTTGGAAGTAGTGGTAGATTTGGAAGTAGTGGTAGATTTGGAAGTAGTGGTCGATTTGGAAGTAGTGGTAGATTTAGAAGTAGTGGGCTTGGTAGTGGTTTTCGTAGTAGAAGTCTTTAAAGTAGTCGCCTTCGAAGTAGCACTTTTGGTTGTGACTTCCTTTTGGGTACTCTTCGGTCCACAATTGAACAAGCAACCGCTGCTAGCATCGCAATAATCCGAGCTAGTGCCACACTGACCAAACTTAGAACACTGGAGATATAATTAGTAGAGTCAGCAAGATGGGCAATTCCGACAATAAACCCACACATTGATTCGAAGAGCACTGGTTTAGAGAGGCGAGATCGGCATAGTTGGCAGGGCGTCTTGTCCCGGGAACCTGAGGACCGCAGACAGCATGCGGGAGAGCAACCGGCATAGGAAGGGCACCGGAGCTGAGACAAACAAAACTGCCTTGCTTCACATTGCCACAACCTGTCCAGTCCCAGGCTCCGACATTCCAAGTTTCGATATTGCTGGTAGTGAGCTGGTAGCGCTTAGCAAGAGCTGCGCAGGTATCACCCTGCTGAATGGTATAGGTATAGCAGATACCATCGCTGCCAGGCGCAAATGAACTGCGTTTATTGAGTGAATGGCCATGAGAGTCGCCAGAGCCATGCCCGGATTGGGCAGTTGCTATGTGGACAGACACAAGAGAGAGGAGGATATGAATGAAATACATCACTTTGAAGATACCCTTGAACGTATTTCTGGAAGGATCAATCAGTCCTTTATAAACAGTTGAATATGAGAAAAATAATTCTTCGAGATTAGCTAGTCTGATCAAGGTGACCATCGGATATCGAGGTCAGTTCATTGTTCAACTGCAGACCCCAGGAACCATACAAGGTTCTGCCTATCGCATCGAGTGATGGGTGAGTTTAAACAATTAATTAACAAAGAAGTTGCCACAACCCACGTATTAACCTCTTCGGCTTACCCTTTCTTTCCCTACACACGATATCCGAGGGCTAGGATCAATACATGATTTCCAAGCAAACACAATACGGGGAAGCTTACACATACAAGGCCAAATGCATCAGAATACAGGCATAGCAAGAGCGGATAACAGGAAAAAAACAACGTAAGACTTGGCCAAAAAAGAAAAAGGAAATTAGAAAACCCTAGATCCTGGAGAGATCTGAAAGAAAACCGAGAGGAAACGGAGGGAAAGTTGGCAACAAAGAGGCTATTTAGCAATAAATAGCATTGGTGGTGCCCATGTATCTGGCAGACTATTGAGACTTCATCCCAAAACAGTGCTCAATAGTGCTAATGGAGTCACATCCTGACACCAGAGGCAAAAAACCTCTTTCAAGTTCCGAGTCATGCGAGAGTCCACGGGGAGACTTCCTTTTGTGTCATATTTATCCAGGTAGAGTTGAATAACAGTTTCCTTGGACCGACAACCTTCTCAATAGCTACTTCGCATGCTTGATGGTTATTGGGGTGAGCCAAGAGAAGTTGAAAGGAAAGCAGCCAGAGAGAGATAAAAGAGAATACTGATGACAGTTGCCAGTAGGTACCGGGGACAAGCTGGCCATAGGACAAATGTGACATCTATGCTAGCAAGGGTCCAAAGTGGACGCATGACCTTCATTCGGCAAGTCGCGGCAAGTCTATGCATTTGATAAGACTTAAAAATCCAGGCTATTAACTCCTCGGGATTGGTGAGAATTATACTTCAAAGTTCAAGTACTGTGGCTTGAAGACCCGGGATTTGAGTCAATTGTGCCGCACTCTTCTGATTTATTACTAGGAAGAAGGAATTGCGGCATCACGGTCCAATGACCCGACGCTTAGATCCGGACATTATCATCGAATGAGGTTAGCGCCGACTAGCTCTTCTGCACGCAGTCCGAAATCTGCACGCGGGGACTCCGATGCAGGGGTATTGTCTCTTCTCATCCGGCGGGGAATTCACTCGGAGAATTATGGCTACGAGGTCTTCTTTCTGGTGTCTTCTTTCAATATGCCACCACACAACCAGGCACACATTATGACTTTACACTGCTAGTATACATACCATCTAGGTATGGGGATAGTATCCACATTATTCACAATTCCCGTTTACCCACCCCTCCCGCATCCTCTCCTGGGCATCATTGCTTGTTGAAAGCTTGGCACTCTTATCACTCACAGGCTAATGGCTAGAAAACAAGCCTATATATTAGCTTTCAAGCCACAGTCACATTAAGTGGCTGTTACTTACTGACAATTCCTGCCGGTGCGCTCTGAAGAGAGCGATCACTTCCATATTAGTTCGGCTTTCTCATTCTACGATACTTGTTAATCTTTATCAACATCTCCAGCCGTCGGACATCCGGAGACCCGGAGCGCTGGAGATTGTATCCTTTTAGCACACTCGAGAAATAGACAATGCCATTGGACTCAGACCCTAGTCTTTGCTGAGTATGTGTGTGGATGCAATGCATGAAATAGGTCCGAGCAATCGAGGCATCTGGGTACTTGTGACCCGAGCTTGCGAGCAGTTGCGCCGATAAAGTGATATCTTCAGAAAACGGTCCTTCCTGGGTTTATGCATCGGTCTCCGACGGCATCAGAAGAGATGAGGGGGTGTTACATTCAGAGAGAAGTGTTCAATGTGCATTAGCTCGAGTACTTCGGCATTATTATCTTCTATTCTTCCGTGAAGCTATCTGTGGACAACTAGCCACGATGGCTATATAAACGCGCATTTCCCATGGGAGTTATCTCGTTATTCACACAGTCAAGCTACCTCCAGTTCTTTCAATCAAACAGTTCAATCATCCAATCTGCACTATGAAGTTCTCGGCTACCATCCTCAGCGCAGCGTTGCTCACAGCCTCAGCTATTGCTGCTCCTCTCACCGAACGCCGCGCAGCTCGCAATGTCGCCAGAGCTGAGGGCCGCGCTAACCGAATCACCCGTCCGCCTTACAAGCCTGACACCAGGGAGCTTCTTAGTCTGAACAAGACAAGCCACGAGGAGTACAGCTCCAACTGGGCCGGTGCCGTGCTCATTGGCACCGGATATACCTCTGTCACCGGACAATTCACCGTCCCCACGCCCAAACTACCCTCAGGTGCTTCCTCTACCACCCAGTACTGTGCCTCTGCTTGGGTCGGTATTGACGGTGATACTTGCAGCACCGCCATCCTCCAGACCGGAGTTGATTTCTGCATCCAAGGAAGCAAGGTTACCTACGATGCCTGGTACGAGTGGTACCCGGATTACGCCTACGACTTCTCCGGCATCCCGATCTCCGCGGGAGATGTGATTAAGGTCACTGTGACCGCTACCTCCAAGACGGCCGGTTCTGCCGTGATCAACAACCTGACTACTGGCAAATCTGTTACCCACACTTTCACCGGTGGTGTTGATGGAAGCCTGTGCGAGTACAATGCTGAATGGATCGTCGAGGACTTTGAAAGCGGCGGCTCGCTGGTTCCCTTCAGCAACTTTGGAACTGTGACTTTCTCAAACGCCCAGGCCAAGTCTGGTAGCACGACTGTCGGCCCGTCTGGCTCTACTCTCATTGATATCAAGCAAAGCTCGCAAGTCTTGACCTCCTCTTCCGTTACTAGCAACAGTGTTACTGTGAGCTATGTTTAAGGTGAAGGTCACGAATATTGGAAACGTAATAGTGCACTAGTAGGCGAAGGAGAGTCGGGAGGTTGGGGGGCCGCAAAGAAAACAGGGTTTGGCAAGCAATGGGAGATACTGTGTTATCATTTGTGGTAAATACATTAGAAGCCAATCGAAACTCATTTTGCCTTGATTGATACATAGAGTGGGGAGTTATTTGGCATAATCTAGTGGCCATTGTGTGCACTCCTCGAAAATCAATATTGTAGATACAGTTTAGCTATACCGATGTCCTCCGAAATATTATAAACCAAATGAAGGTGGTGATCATCTAGATCTCGTGTAAATATCGCAATCATACCACGTCTACATATTTGACAATTTCAGCTTAAGCATTCAGGTTGAGCGGCGAGACACAAGAGAACGAGTTAAGCTGCGGGAGCTGGAAGGCATCAACCATTCCTAGGAGAGAAATTAGTATGGAGTAAATAACAAGAAAGCATAATAACTCACCAACAATAGCCGCCCACATGCCCAGTCCACACATCGAGAGTGATGCTAAGCAGAACACAATATGCCAAACGTTGGTGGCGACTTGGAAGGTGCCGCCAGAAAAGAAACCGCGGACCCATCTTGCCGTTGTTGATTCGGTCCGGATCACCTCTCCGGTTGTCGGGTTGAATCCTTCACCAATCTCCGGTCGAATAGCATTCTTCTGGATGTCAAATGCAAGGGCAAACAAGGGAGGTATGGTAAATGTCAAGTTCAAAAGCATGGAAGCGGAAATGATGCTGACGAAGCCAAAGTAATCTGGAACGGCTGCGGCAATGATAAAGGCGATCGTCCACCAAATTGGGACGAGAGAAGCATAGACAATTTTGCCAACCCGGGTATTCAGAGGAGGCATACCGAAAATATCCATCAAGACGTTATTGTAGACGATCTTGACTCCAATATTTCCGTAGAGGCCTGCGCAGATCAGAGCAGAGAGCAAAGAAACCATGTTGCCGACGGTTTGCCACGAGTAGACGCTGATACCCTGGTAACTCGGACTGAAGCTGTACTGTCCTTGGAGATGATAGACGACGCATCCGTGAGTGAGATAGACGCTGTAGATGAAAAACTGGGCTCCCCACATAGCTTTGAGGAAGTCTCGAGGCCGCCGCATTTCGGCCATGAATTCGACAAACAGCTGTGCACCTGCATATGCCAGCACACCGGAAAGCATGCCATTCACCGACCCAATGAGTCCATCCGTGGGGATATTGTTGTAATGCATGATCGGCGGGTAGTTACCCTCACTATCCGGTGTGATCGTTGCTCTGTCAACCGCACTGCCAGCTGACCCGAGCGTGGAAATTTTGTAGTTCGGTGGAGACATCGACATCACACCCATAGTCATGAAGATGACAAACAAATTCATCCACACTGCGAGATTTGCAATCCAGCCATACGCTTTGAGAGTCCTGATCTGAGAAACAAAGAAGCCGACACAAGCAAAGATGACGGGACAGACAACATAGCAGAGTCGGAACTGTGATACTTGAGAGATGTTTTCGCCAAATCCGATCGTGACTTGGCCCACAAGCAAGAGTAGCGAGATCGCCTGAGAGACATTTGTAAGATGGCGACCGTACCGACCAAGCGTCCGGAATCCGAGATCACCATAGTTCTTGGCCGGGAACTCGTAGCTGTCCACGCCGAGGAAGACACGCCAAAGGAGATATCCAGAGTATCCGGCCATGAATCCGAAAACGGTGTAGAAGGCAATGCCTATATCCCAATCAGTCAACTCAGTGTTCCAGATGTGTACAGGAATAAATACTAACCTGGTCCCCAACCCAACGTGCCCATTGCAAAGCCCGCGCCATACGGGCCGAGAATATCCGTTGTGATCAAATAGAAACCTAGCAGTCTTGTAAGTATGGAGTTCAAAAGATACAATTGCCGACTTACAGGCACCCCATGAGGCAGACCTAAGCGAACGGCTTGCATTTGTCCATTCCTCGTCTGTGATTGCAAGTCTCCGCTCGCGAGTTGAAAAGTCTTTCTCTGTCAGTGTTGTAATTGGCCCTTCTTCGGTCTTTTTGCCTGAGAGAAGCTGTCGGATATTGAGCACCGGAGGCTCCAAAAGCTCTTCCTCTTCTCTTGTCTTCTTCGAATAGTAATGGTACTCCTCGAATGTGATATTTGGATCGTAAGCGTCGCGAGCCTGTGGTTTGATGAGGGTTGTTGAAGTCAACTCTCCAGGCGAAGTCAACTCCCGAGGCGATTCTGGCATGAAACCGCCCTCTTTCTCGTCCAAAGAGAGTTCCATATTCATCGACAGTGAGTGTAGAATAGGCTTCAAATGAGAATGTATAGTGTGAGACAGATGCGAACATTCATTGTCCAAGTGGGTAAAGTTGATCCCTTTTAATGTCATATAAACCAAGCGCGGGGGATAAGCAGATAAGCATCTGTCCAAAGTTAATTAATTAATTCCGAGGTATACAAGCATTAATTCGGAGTGTTGTCGGAGAGAGAGCCCAAGTCTCCTATCGCGGGACTGCGACTACCAGTTGGACGCATTAATCTACCGATAAATCCAAATGAATGCAACGATAAACCAGCCATTGATAACGGTCTTTGATAATCCTTGCCTGATTGAGGGTCACTCTGGAGAAAGGGCCATTGAGCGAGAGCTAACGGGGAGGAAAGATAAGTTTCGATGGAACCTCAGGCCCACAGGTGAGTGCTTGATTGGTGTCTGGGGTATCCGGAGTGCAGCCCTAATTCCTCAGATCTCATGATGGGCACTGCTGTACGGAGTGCAGGAGGGCTAGTTACATTCATAGATGCTAACCTCTCCCCTTCCCCCTCACATTGAGCGAATACTCGGTTCTCCTTGATAGATGCTTATTGCTGGAATGGTCAAACATGTAATGACTAATACAAAATAGTCACGGGACAGCGTAGCACGGGACGCACAGTCACGTGGATATCGGGGGAAAATACTTCCGTCCCGGTATTAACAATGCCAATCTTATCCACCAATACGCAGTAACCGGCCAGTATATTTTTACGGGCTATTTTTCACACCCTATGGTCGTATATATCAGATAATTTGTGGGATAGAAACATCTCGTAGAAATACAGATTCAAATGATGGCAAGAAGGGTATGCGCAATGTTATAGGCGACAAAATCAAGATGTCCTGATGCAATCAGACACAGAAGAGCCCAAAAAGAAAAAAAGAAAAAAAAAGCAAGAAAAAAAATCACCAGCATCTGGCTAAAGAGACTTTCCGTACTTCTCATACTTCTCATACAAGTGCAGTATCGCTATTCTCCTCTGTATAGAGGCAATCGGGGAAATTCGCCCTGTAGCAATTTTAGCGCGTGAATCACTAATTGGTGAAGTGTTGACATACCAGAAATCACCATCGAATGCACAATAGTCAGGCACCATCCAGTCAGCGGTGGGCATCTCGGCATTGAGCTGTGTAGGTGATGTTTCCATTCCAAGTGGATTTACCGGTTGTAATAGCATATCCACAACAGACTGGAGAGAGCGCTTGGCCTGGGAAAACAATTTGAAATTACCGTCACTGGGGCTATGCAAAATATCCATGTGTACAATCAGAACAGACAGATTCTCGATTACCCGTCGTCGAGACGGCGGGTCTAATTCCTTGAACCGACATCGAGATGATGGCTGTAGAAGATATAGTGCAAGGGCCCCGGCGGCAGGGAGAGCGCAGGATGCCACCTATATATAAAGTCAGCCCAACATAATTTAACAAGTTTCTCAGGGTACGTACTCTCCAGGCTAGAGATATAAAGCCAAGGTTCGGTAGCTGTTCCCGTCGGACCAAGGCATCATTAACCGAGGAAATTAGTTCCATTGCGGAGCGAAATAAACTTGAGTGTTCGAGTCCATGCCGCCATGCTGCCCATTCGATCAAAAATGAAGACTGTAGATATAAAATCCGAGTCATATGTAAGCACTCCATTTCCATGCGCGGTCTTTGGATATCCCAGAGTTCGTGAGATGGCACCCTCAGAAAGGACGGTAGGTTCTCCCATGCCTTGTTGAGTTCATGGTGCAAGTCACTGTGAACGATCAGCTAATGTGTTGCACGAACTGAGACGAGTCACGTACATTATTCGCCGTTGCATATCATATATATTCCTGCCCAGAAGCAATTCCAACGTCTCTTCTCGAATCATTGCTGTAATCGTTGACCATCGCATAACAGCACTCGGTCGGATGTGACCCTGCGAATTCCAGCCGGCGTGATCAATATCTTCCAGCTCTCTACTGAGAGCAGTCTCCGACAGGGAATAACACTTCTCGTCAATATCAAGGGGCAAGTTGATACAGCAAAATTTCTTGCTCATGCGCGGTGGTCGCCCGAGAAATGTTGCTAGGCTGATATCGATACTGTATAAGCGGGAAAAAATACGTTTTCTTAGTTCAACCAGAAAGAAGGGAACATCGCGCGCTTCTTGGATGCTCTCGTGGAGTCCAGCGGCAAGTAGAGCACAGGCTGCGTCGTTGAGCCGGCGCCACGTTTTAAGACCTGCCCATCTGTCACTTTGAGTCACACGCGAAAGGAGATTAAGAGTTTGTAGCGTACTTTGATCACCATAAAAAACAGACTGCACCTGGAACGTCTGATACAGAAAGAGAATATGAACGTCATTGAGAACCTCCAATGCCTCGCAAAAGATTGCGCATTTATTTCCAAATTGAATGAGGTTCATTCTTAAGGTCTGCCGTTCTGGTTCTGTCCGGTACAGAGCATATGGTGCACGAAACTCAGTTGCGGCAATACTATGTCCCTTGTTAGTCCCCTTATCTCTAGAACAGTAGTTTCCGGGATTTTCCCCTACCCAACAAGTGTAAGGATTGCTCCCATTGTCTCCCAGCGGAGATTCGGACCCGTATACTGGTCGATGAGGCCTTGCAGCGTCATCAAACGATGTATTTCCACAGGGCGGCTGCTATTTTCAAACAAACGCTGTGACAAAGCTAATAAATCGGATCGGAAATTTTTAGAATGCTGTAGGGTGACAATTTCCTCAATGACTGCATCGGCGAATGGCTGAATGAGGATCGCGCCGACATGCGACTCGAGCCCGTTCCCCTTCCAGTCCGAGAAAAAGTGCATAACGGTGTTATTTATCTTGGAGCTGGTCAGTGTTTCTAGCAGCTGTGCGCCCTCGACGGTCGAAGCGTTGTTCATGAAACGAGTAGAGTAAGCTGGCCCCTCATCATCCCGCCCGACCGGAAGCAAGGTCGAGGCAGCTTCCAGATCCCCAAACAACATGGTTTGCTCGCGTACATTGCCTAACAGTGAGTCTAGAGAAGAAGAGCCTTGATACCCCGTATTAGGGTGTGTATTTGGTGGCAGAGTTGGCTGGATGGCTTCTAGGATGGATGTAGAATTAAAAGCCAGCTGATGTCTGGAATGATCGTCAGGACGCAATTTATAACATAGAGGCCGATTAAATGAATCACGCACTGCATTCCCGGAGATTGGGGTGTAAAGGAGGGTCGACTCCGCTTGAACGCATTCTTCCTGTAGACGCACTCATGGGGGATATCTCGCCCGACACACCGAGCGCAAGGTTGGCGATGATCGCAGGCTAGTTTAGAGAGTCGACAGGGTTCACAGGATGCGACTCTCGGTGGCCGCTGTGCCCGCGTACTCTTTGAACGACCAGACATATTCACCACACGCACACGTGGAAGACTGGAAGATGGGGGCGGCGGACGAGAAGCGGGGGCGTTCCCCTTATCAGCTGAGTCGATGTTTTTGTTTTCTAAGAGTGAAAGGAGACAAGATATTCATTTGTTCAGGATTCGATAATTTCAAGCTATGATATTTTCTTCAATGCAGGCAATGGGCCATCCCAAGTTGGTTGTGTCCTCCCCTCCCAATAACTCTCCACCGGTCGTGAGCCTATCTCACTCTGTATTTGAGCCGACACAATCTCATTTTGCCCCCAAACGCGCAGAATATTTAATCCCACTAGTTTTCGCACCTGCTCGTCGGTTGCACCGCGTCGCATGACAGCTTCAATGAGTCTCGGGTATGCCGAGACATCCTCGATCCCACTGGCAACAGCAGGTGTCCCATCAAAATCGCTGCCTGGGTCAATTTAGTATGTGTTATTCCGACACTCACAGCGAACCACTCACCAATTCCAACATGGTCCCAGCCGGCGATGGAGGCAGCATGGAATATGTGATCGACCACGTCTTCCAAACTGGCCTTGTCCGGGTTGTCAGGTCGAATGAACTTGTTCGCAAAAAAGATCATGATTAGGCCACCATTTTGGCGGAGCATCCGAAGGACGTCATCGGGGGTATTTCTCAGACGCTTTGCGAGCGCATAACACGCCGAATGGGAAAATATCACTGGTGCCCGAGTCGCAGCTATAGCATCTCGCATTGTTCGGTGAGACGTGTGGGAGAGGTCTATCATCATCCCTAGGCGATTCATTTCGCGTATCGCGGCACGTCCAAAGTCACTCAGTCCATTATCCTTGCCTGTTTCCGTTACTGTGCTGGCCGCAGTAGCGAATGCATTGTCACAGTTGTGGGTTAGAGTGATATAGCGCACCCCGAGCTCGTACATTTGCCGGATCACGGCAAGGGATGAACCGATCTGATGGAGTCCTTCAGCACCGAGCATGGAAGATATTCTCTTTGATTTGAAGGCTTGTCGAGCACATGCTGCTGTGTCGCAATACTGCAGCTCGCTATATTCCGCTATCAAGCGCTTTGCCACATCAATCTGCTCAAGGGTATCACGAACACTATGCTATAAATTGGAGTTGTCAACATCGCTCTTGAGCGGGAAAGGGCCAGATTTGCAATTACATTTGGATCGTCAAGATGAAGTATTCGGGGACACTGGGTTCGATGTCAGTCACATGTAATGCTGCATGCTCAATAGTCAGGGACCTCACCTCTACAAAGACCGACCAAAACTGCCCACCCACTTTGCCCTGCTTCATCCGCTTAAGATCTGTATGAGATGCAAGTCCTTCATACAGCCAATATTAATTAGTCCTTGATCAAACGATTGGCAAACGAATAGAAACTATACCCTGATCAAATGGAAGGTTGTCTCCATAAATCTGATTGTTGAGCTGCAGTCGGACAAGGAATGGAAGATCGTTATGTCCATCTATGAGAGGTATTTCCGATAATACCCTGGTCGTTCGAGCCGCAAAGTTCAATGGATCGATATCTTGAGGCTGCACTAGGTCTCTTGCTCTTATCGCAACCCAGAGCGCTATAGAGATGGAACCAATCGCAACAAGCTTGAGAGGATTCCATGATTTCCCTCTTTGTGCGTTGAACACAATTACCCGACTATGATTCTCATTATCACTCGTGGTACCCTCGCACAATGATGACCCCGTTGGCCATTGTGGCTCAATTGCATCCAAGCGATTCATAGAGGCGGAAAAGGGAAAGAGATGGCCGCGCCAAGGGAGATTCAGGTATCATCCGTATTGTTTGATAAGAGAGAAAGACTAAATCATTAATCTGTCGAAGCGATACATTTGTCAAATGTCCGAGAGGTTCCATGCTGTCGGACAGAGTCAGGAGCGTTACACCGGTGACACATATCTTGCTATCATAAAGATTCGCACGATTACCACGAGGCAAATGCGGATGCAACGCAGACAGATAATCCAATGGACATTCTTTGACTTATTTGACCAATTGGCTTGCTTTCTCGTTATTGCTGAGGGAAATCCCGCGTGAGGGGCATTCGGAGAGAGCACGGAGAGAGCAACAACATTCTCCGAGCGGGGCCGCCAGAGACGTTTGGCGTTGCGACGTTCACTATCAAGCAAACCCCATATTTACCGATTAAAGTTCAGGGCCATGCATAAAACTGACGATGTAGCGCGCTCGAGATCGAATCATGCACACGGTCAGACCTCAAAAACATCATGATTTCACTTCTTGCAAAACAAGTCACCCTGGCACTGGTCTGGGGTGCTGCCAACGCCCTTCCAAGCTCCAATGCAAGCCCTATTCTCGACACCCGCTCCGTGCAGCCTGCCTACGTAAGTGTGGCAGTGACAACATTGTGGACCGACCCCAGCAAGCCGCGCGCAATCGATGAGCCGGCACTGACAAACCCGGTGCAAATGGACAAATGGCTTTCTATGAACGTGTCCGACTACAGCGACCTCACCACTAATAGCCGGACTCAGACGCAAGCGCTTTTTGGTGCACGAGTGGACATCATCGGCCATGAGAATGGTTGGTACGAGGTGGCCCTCCCCGGACAGGCGACCCCAAAGAACGCCCTGGGATATCCCGGCTGGGTCCCTGCTGCGCAGGTATCGTTTGACCAGGAATACGGACGACTGCTCTCAGAAAAGCCCTTCGCGAAAGTCGAAAAGGCTGCCACGGTTCCGCTCTACCGCGATCATAGCCTGAAGTCGAAGCTAATGGAAGTCACCTACGACACAAGACTCCCCGTCCTGCGGGAGACAAAATCAGCCATTGAAGTCGCAACTCCCGGTGGTGGCTCGGCTTACTTGTCCACCCATGATGCTTCCGTCTACAAGTCTGCCTCGGATATTCCTTATCCGACGAGCCTTGACCTGATCAACACAGCGAAACTGTTCCTTGGCCTTCCTTATCTCTGGGGCGGTATGTCAGGATACGCCGTCGACTGCTCGGGATTCACGCACACCCTCTACCATTCGCATGGCATTGATATTGCTCGTGACGCTGACGCTCAAGCCGACTTCACTGGTCATGGCACCCCTGTCGCGCAGGCGGATTTGCAACCCGCGGATCTCATGTTCTACGCGAGCAACCTCAGTGATGCAAGCACGATTTATCACGTTGCGATGTATATCGGAAATGGAGAAATGGTCGAGGCATATGATTCTGGCACTCCAGTGAGAATCACGCCTGCTCGCTTCACCGACGAGTACTGGGGAGCAGAGCGGTTCTTGAAGCACCGAAAGATCTGAAAAGTTTTTACAGATTTTGCAAATGCTTGCAGAGTGTTTATTTTATGCATCAGATGTAATTGGTTACCAAGCATTCATTGTTATAGATATGTTATGTACTTTTTGATATCGAGTGTTTCAATAAGAATTCGAATTTGTATATATTGAACTTGGATAGTTGCGAGAAAGTGTATGAATGTAGCCAGCCATGAAAAATTCGAGACTAAAGGGATGTCAGAAAAGCTTCCTTATATGAATATTCTAAAGTAGCGCAATCCCCGGAGCCATCAACGGGTGAAAGATGAGATTATGTAATTGAGATGAGTCACGCCAAATATGATACAAGAATGGTGATACAAGAATGTCTAATGATGTTCCCCCAAGAAAGAAAAGATCTATCGATGGTGTACATATGCAAAGTCGTGCCGTAACCTAAGCGCCAGTGACCCGGAGCACAAATTCATATACGCCAAGCGTAATGATAGCTGAGGGTAAAGAACGGAGCATGTGAGGGGCCAGACCTCCGTACAAGCCCGCCATACCTTCTTCTTTAGCGATGGTACTGAAGCATTGTACCAGCCCTGTGTATTTGGCCTGGCCATGCTCCACAGGTGCCTGGCGCAATCGTGTTCGGATAACCTAAGAATTGAGTTAGTGTGAAACTAGGATAATTGCCGCAGAGGGGAATACGTACCTCATGAGGATATGTGATGAGACCTGCCACGAGCTTAGCGGAAGACGCGGCACCACTAGTACTAACCCAATGGAACACTTCGTTCCAGAAGGGAGTCCTTGGCCCCTCGGTAGCTTCTAATGACCGATTGAGCCTAGTTTTCAACTGTTCATAGAGCACCAGATGTAGAGCCGTTTCAATCGAGCCGAGGTAGCTTGCGCTCAATCCTCTATAAAAGCCACCCAGTCCCTCATTTCGCATGACTTGCCTGATGCAATCAACGCTATTGCGATATCGACGAGTCGAAGGACCACCGGTGTGTGTTTGTGTTTTGTCAAGTTGTAGCCGTGTTTTGACAAGCCATATTGGATTCGTTGCTGTTGAGGTTGCGAGTCCGGCGCAGATTGCAGCTTGGGCATGGACGATAGCAGAGTCTTCCGTGTGTCCCATGAGTTGAGCTCCAACACGCTTGCAATTGCCGTATACGTAAAATTTGATGGCGGTCGCCGGTACTACACCGGCCATGCTTGGCCCGAGGCCTCGAAAGAAGGCTCGCCAGCCTTCAGCACGATAAATGGAATTGATAATCCGTAGCGTTTTATGACTTGATCGTTGTGAGGTTTGAGGAAGGGAGGCGTCGGAGCCTTTTTGTGGTTGATAAAAGTCGGACTGAAGACGAGTTCGTAAGACATCAAGAGGCGAAGTCACTATCGCGGTAGCCATTCCACCGCTCCTATGATTATGTTAGAAGAATCAACATAATACCAGCTGGAAAATACATACGCGCCCGCAAGAAGGTGCACCCAAGAACTAACAGCCTTCTTGGTCGGCATCTCAACAGGGATACCCTCTTCTCCTCCATCTGAAGGAGCATACTGAGTTTGAGCATTTCCACCCATATTTGCGTCGTACCTTGAGAAGAGTGAGATCGCGAAGGGCGAGTCCCGACACTTTTTTTCGGCGATATGAATTTCCGTGATCCACGTCGCCAGATCACGTGTATAGTCATATTATCACGTGCACCCTCTATTACTTTAATCCAGTGCAATGGAAATATCTACATATGAGGAAGGCTGGAAGACTTAAGTAATTGAAACAGCCGATTTTCACTGTAGTTATATATATATATGATTGGCACATAAAGTACGGAGTACTCTTTGCACATTATGATTGTTGGCCTTGGTGCCTGAACCGCCAGGTCATCTGACCGCCCTGGCACGGTATATATGGCCTACGGTGCGTTTTCTCTCTCTGATTCACAATTCTCATCGCACTAAGGCCAATGTACATAAACCAGTGCCAAGATGATTACCTCATCAGAGCAAGGTAGACCTCAGAAAAGAAGGAGAATTGTCATTTCCTGTACAGAATGTCATCGGCGCAAGCAAAAAGTATGGGGCAACACGAAAGCGCATGAACAAGGAAAAGAAAGCTACTAAAGATTGAATAGTGTGACCGCCAGTATCCATGCTGCAACTGCAGCAAGCGAGGAACGCAGGTATTTATATTTATAATAGAGGCAATACTGCTTTTGGTCTGATTGGCGACTGCAGGATCTTTGCCACTATGACGCTTTACCAAAGAACTGCCAACCCACCCAGGGCAGTTCTGGGGTGGATAGCCCCTTGGAAATCACTACCAACAGCAAGGCCATGCATTTTTACCCACCTGCTAGACCGGGCTGCGAGCGGGCTAGCGAGTCTGAGGACAAGATCAGAAATTTTGGATATTCCAGCTACGGCAATCACAACTCCATGAGCTTATTACGGACCGTAGAGCTTTATGGAGGCCGGGCCAAAGGCTTACTGAGCCCCTTTCCTACAAACCAGTCACCTTTATCAAGCGAGGCAGATCGCAAGTACAGGGAATTAGTCCGTCAGCTGCCCTCGCAGCCCTGCATCGAGATCTTGGTTCAAACGTTTTTCTCCGACATCAATTGGCAGTATGACCTACTCGACGAGAAATCCTTTAGAGAAGACCTAGATGCGTGGGGAAAGATCTCATACTCTGACCTTCAAGCAGGCTTCGCAAGATTGGCGCTGGGAACCATTGTGTTTCCAGCGTTACTATTTCAAGTCCTCGCACAAGCACTTCTTTTTCACTCCCCTGATGATGACATGATCAATTCGCTCATCACCATGGCTGAAATGACCTTCCATGATCTTGGGGCCGAATATAGTGATACGGGTGTTGAGTTACTCGCGGTTCTGGGAAAAGAGGACATCACGATCGCCACGGTCCAAGCAGGTATGCTACGTGCCTCGTTTCTGAAAAGTAGTGGCAAAGTTATTGAATCCTGGCATGTACTTGGGACAACAATCCGTGATGCACAGGAAATTGGCCTGCATACTGGACAAATTATGTGTGGACAATTTCCAGTTGGGCCCGGGCGCGAGAGACAAAACATCAGTCTCGTTGGTCACAGAGTTTGGGTGGTCTTGCATATTTGGGACATCCATATGGCTGTTGTTCTTGGTCGACCGATTGCCACCGATCTACAGATAGATCGCTTCGCTTGCACTATAGAAGAAGACGAAACGCGGCGAGAACTATTCTCGCATTGGCAAACCGAGACTAACCCCCCTCGACCATTTGACGTCATCCTCGCCGGCTTTAATGTAGCCTATCGATATTTCAAGGACATCCACAAATTGGAACATCACAGTGCTGGCCCGCAAGATTATCCTACGGTCGAACATATTCACGGTGCAATCAAGAGAAACTCAGAAATGTTACCCTCTTGGTGCCGTCTTGAACACCCAGATACAAAGTTTGATCGGATACAAGGGTGTCAATGGTTACCTCTTGCCCGGGAAGGACTGTACTCACTCATTCACCTTGTTCTTCTCGCACTTCATCGACCATACATATTCTCTGTGGCCAACAGTCGCACGGAAGCGCTCAAAGCTGGAGTATCCATTCTTCGTGCACAGGAACGACTATTCCAGCAATCCCAGCCGCACCATTGCAAGGTGTTCAGTCCGGTCTACGCTTCTTTTGATGCAATTGTTCTCCTTGCAGCACTCTGTCTTGTTTTTCCGAACGAGAATCAAGAACTACGAGCAGACTGTATCGACGTTGTTGAAAGAGGGATGCAAAGACTGGGAATCATTGGTCAATTTAATTCCATGGCAAAGTCAGCACATGGTGTTGTCTGCAGCTTGTACCGTCGCCTAACGCATCGGTTAAACCTCCCCGGGGACGTTGAGCGAGCTGGAGCATTTTCCAACAACCCAGAATGGATCTCTCCCAACAGCGATACATTTATATATAACGGGACACTGTCAGAACTCTCTTTTGATGCTGTTTTACCTCCGCGTCCAACCCATGACCTGTTCTTCAACCATATTTCAAGTACACAAATTCCTGTTATGGCGACACCAGAAAGTTTACCCTTTGACCCGCTTAGTGTGAGCATTACAGATAGTTGGAATTTTGAAGGCGTCTTTTCAGATGCCAGCTTTTGGAGTCGGATGAACCAGCCTAATCATTGAAAATGTACCTATCGCCGATTGCATTCTATTCAACTCCCGCAAACCAGACCGCATTGTCCCCCACATTGCGATCGACACAATCCAGCTGGCCATAGTACTGGAAGTGGGAACCTCGTTGTTTCAGATCAACTTCTTTTGACTTGTGGGGATGGACTCCTACTTGCGCTTAGCAGCAGCCGCATTCAGACAGTTGTCACCGTGGATGAGCAGCGCCGGCTTGTCCAGCTTCGCCACGACAACAATGATGGTCTAGCTAAAGGGCTTGCTGAGCTTTCTCAGGTCGCGCTTGTGCAGGGCTTCTCACTGTTCGCGGGTGGGCATTTTCCTCTCCGCTATATCGGTACCAGGCGTCCATGAAACACACCCAGCGCAAATTATGTGGATGTAGATGTAGATGTCGGTTTCATAGTCTCGGTAGTATCCAGAGACCGAAGCCACGCCCCCGGTTATCGTAGGATGCCACATCCATGGACTCGGCCATCTTGGCAAATACCGACTAGGATGAGCCGGGATGCACCAAGATCGCCGCGCTCCGATAGATAGTCAAGTCCTGCGACCATGTCCTCGTCTTTTATGTTGGGATTTTCAGTCGTCAAGTTCGATATCTATAAACCCCCTCCAATTGTTTGCATGGCAACTATGACGCATTAGATTAAATGAACATTCCAATCATATCAACGTTGCGATCTCCATTTTAGTACTCCTTACATTATCGCCGATAAAAGCGGGTCAGGCTGGACCCTTAACGCCGATGAACCAATCAAAGAAGAATTGAACTGTGGGGATTATGCAACAATCGATCTCCGCTGGCTACCGGATTTGGCAATGTGCGATGTACATCATACAGTGAAGCTGGGCGCAGATGGAGGGGCAAGACTTATATAAACTCAAAGCTGTCCGCTCGCTCACAGAATTTAATCTCCCACTACCTGACTTCCAATCAAACAAGCAAAAATGACACCCAAGGTCCTCGTTGTCCTCACCTCCTATGGCAAGTTCGCCGCCACAGGAGGTTCAACCGGCTGGTTTCTGGTATGCACCTCTGACTGCGGCTGCAATTGAGAAACAGCCATTCCGTTTTAGATGTTCACAAATGCTGACGATGTTTTCCAAAGGCCGAATTCGCCCACCCTTATGAGGTCCTCCGCAACAAGGTCTCCGTAACCGTCGCTTCGCCTAAGGGTGGAGAAGCCCCATTGGACCCCGCCTCCGTGAAGATGGCTGAGTCGGATGACGTGTCACTGGCTTTCTTTAAGGAGGAGAAAGCCCTGTGGACGAACACGCATAAGTTGTCGGATATACTCCCGCGCGCCAGCGAGTTCGATGCTATCTTTTATGTTGGTGGTCATGGACGTATGTTTAGCTCCTACATCTAATCAAAATATATGTTCTAACAAAATGAAACAGCCATGTTCGACCTAACCGAAGACCCAGACTCCTTGGCCTTAATCCAAACCCTCGCGGCCGCCAACAAGCCCGTTGCAGCGGTCTGCCACGGACCCTGCGTGCTGCTAAAAGCCACTGCGCCATCAGGCGTGCCTCTCCTCTCTGGCGTGACGGTGACCGGACTCACGAATGCAGAGGAAGACGCCACAGGCCTGTCCTCGGTTATGCCGTTTATGCTGGAGACGGAGCTGGGCCGTGTCACCGGCGGCAACTATGTCAAGGCCGCCGAGATGTGGGGCGAGAGTGTTGTTACTTCTAAGGCCGCTGGAACAGGGTCGATTATTATTACTGGACAGAACCCTGCTTCGGCGCCAGGCGTTGCGAAGGAGATATTGAAGGCCTTGGGGTTGTAAAGGAAATTTATTCAAATGTCGGTGTTACCGGAGACCCCAACGAATATGCAGAATAGGAATAACCATCTCACTTGTTCTGGATCATATGTATTCAACACGTCATGCATGTCTCATGATTTAAATTGGGTTTACAGATTCCGTAGGTAGAACAAATTAAATCTGATTTGACGTTTGATTCTTTTCATCTTTAAACCACACCTGGACACTCGATAACAGGTGTGTATAGGAGCTCATTCAGTATTCATTCCAATCTTAATCATTACTCTTGTAACCTTGTTCGACATGTCGATGGTTTCCAGGGTCCCTTTTCAGCTCTCAGGCCGGTATGCCGAGCGAAACCGATGAGAAGTTCTCAACGGCCCAGGCGACTCACGTGTAACTGGAATTCAAATCATCCAAGATGAAGGTCTAGTTAACAAATGGAGTGACAAGGTTGTTTTGGTCACTGGCGTTTCATCTGGAATTGGTGTTGAAACTGTGCGCGTCTTGGCATCTACCGGGGCGACTATCTTTGGCACAGCCCGGAATCTTGACAAGGCGAAGGAAGCCTTGAATGATGTACTCGATACTGGGCATTTGAAGCTTCTTTTCATGGATCAGACAGACCTTTCGAGTGTTCGGGCGTGTGCTGCGGAGTTTCGCAAAGAGAGCCCCAAGCTTAATATTCTTATCAACAATGCCGGGGTAAGCTAGTCGAAACAAATTTCTCAAAGATCGTCCGCCCACTATTTGATCGTTATAGGTGATGAATACCCCAGAAAGTCGTACTAAAGATGGCTTCGAACTGCAATTTGGAACAAATCACCTATCACATTTCCTACTCTTCTATCTACTGAAAGATATCCTACTGGAAACCTCAACGCCTACATTCCATTCTCGTGTTATTAATGTTTCCTCGTCGGGCCACTGTTATAGCCCTATCCATTTGGACAATGTTAACTTTGAAGGAAATTATAATGGATGGATTGCTTACGGAGCGAGCAAGACGGCTAATATATATATGGCTACCCAAATCGAGCGTTTGTATGGGACGCAAGGTCTTCATGGCTATAGCTTACATCCTGGGGCCTTCGTGAGCCCCAACCTCCAGAAATACTCACAGGAAGAAATGAAAGCAGCGATGCAGGACAAGCGCGCCCTCGCGTATTTGACTAGTATCGAGCAGGGCTGCGCAACGACTATTTATGGCTCTGTCTCGAGTGAACTGGAAGGGAAAGGCGGATTGTACTTGGAAGGAGCATCTATTGCAGTTCATCCGGCTCCCTCAGGCGCGGATGGACTAGAATATGGATACAGCAGTTGGGGGTTTGATGAGTCAAAGGAAAGGGAGTTGTGGAAGTTCAGCAAATCTTGGGTAGGAGTAGAGTAAATGTTAAGGATTATCAACATCACCATATATATAATCAAGTGGATGTTTTAGTTCCAGAGCTATTTGCTTATTGCTAGTATTCAATTAATTGACACGATAAATCGATAGAAAAAGGCAAGAAAACATTGTATAACTCAACAAGTTAATGATCATACAGTGAAGAAAAAGAAGACATTTTGTTACGAGCCAATTCGATTCAGAAGAAAAGAGTGCAATTCAAACCAAATTCTAAGTACAAAGAAGAAAGAAAAAGGAGAAACTATTTGAGTGCGCGTTCTTCCCTTCTCATACCCTTGCGTTTGTTCTCGCTTAATCTCGTTTGTCAATTTGGGAAGGTGTGAGGGCGAGGTCGTTCCTGCCTCGTCTGGCAAGTACGATCCAAAGTACGATCCTTCCCAGATTGTCACAGATATAATACATTCGCGCACATGGTACATCAAACGCTGCCTGAGGAAATCCGAGGAAGATCAGAGTTTGCTGGAGACAAGGTAGGGAATGTTCTTGGCCTCGTATAGATCTTTGTGCTCAGACTTGATGATATCCGCGCCCTAGATTATATTACGCATTAGTCTTACCCTGGGAGCTGGCGGATCTGTGACTAACCTTCTCGCCAATCATGTAGACCGAGTTTTGAATACGGCAATCAGGGATCACGGGGATGATAGAAGCATCGGCAATTCTGAGGTTTCGGACTCCGTGGACTCGCAGTTTGGAGTCGACAACACCCTGGTGGATGCTCTTCGAGAGACGTGCGGTACCGCATGGATCTGTAAAGTAAATCATTAGACTTGTTTCGGGACATTGGAAGGGGTGATCTCACGGAATCCTGTCTGGCTGCGATCCAGAACAGCCCGGTTCATATCATCATCGGAATCAAGGGGCATCTTCCAGGGGTATTCTGAAATAACAATGTCCTTGAATCCAGCTCCCGTGGTCAAAAGATCATATGTCCAGCGCACACCCTCCCGCATGGCCAGAATGTCTAAGTCATTGCCGAAGAAGTTGAGGTTGATATTCGGCTGTACCTGTGCGTTCGAGCTGTTTAGGGTGACTTCACCTTCAGAAAGGGGCCGCAGCAGATCAACAATGACAGTCATGTGATTTCCCTTGTCAGGCATAGGGTAATGCCACTGGAATGCGCTGCTGAACAAGCCGACGAAGTCCAGCTCGAAGTGAGGTTGTCCTGCTGGCCCGAAAGGATCCAATCCCCCGTTGGCAGCCTTAGCCTCGAGATAGGCAGGGTACTTTTCCAGGCGTTCGTCAATTCGGGGGAATCCGACAAGTTCCAGGAATCCGGAGCTTGCAGGACCAGTCTTGTCCTTCTGATAAGTGGACAGCGCCTTGTCATTGAGAGGACCAGGCCTGAGGATATGGTTATCTAAGCTGTATCCATCCTTGGTTTCAAGAACGAAAGGTACGATGGGATGGTCAAGAAGATGCTGGCCGACGTGAGGGGATTCCACAATGGGGGCGATTCCGTGTTTTGCCAGTTCCGCTGCTGGGCCAACTCCGCTAAGCATGAGAAGCTTAGGAGTCTCAAAGACACCTTGAGAGAGAATGACTTCTCGGCGGGCGTAGACGCTGATCTCGTGACCAGAAGCTTCACTTATCACAGTGACACCGGAGCAGATGCGTGTGGTAGGGTCGATGAGCAGCTTCTTCGAGTTAACGCCATAGAGGATTGTCACGTTAGGCTTATTCTTCAGATAAAGGAAGCTACCCTGGCGTTCACCCTGGTGGATGGTATCAACACAATGGGTTAGACCTTTCATCTCGCCGGAGTAGATATCCTCGCTCAGGGGCTGGCCCTTAGAAACCCAGGCCTCAGTGAGCGCATCACGGAACGGCTTCATCTCCGGCACCAAGTCGGCATGGGAGATTTGCAAAGGGCCTCCGGTTCCAATCTTACTCAGTTCGGCCGGATACAGCTTCTCGTCGTCATGGTAGGTGGCACATTTGCGGAGGTACTCCACACAGGAATCCCAATTCCAGTCATGGCCACCGAAGGCCTCCCAGTCGTCAAAGGTAGGCTTCGAGCCCGGAATCCAGGTGAAGTAGTTGGCAGTTGAACTACCACCAAGAGCCTTTCCGCGAGTGTTGGGTTTTTCAACACGCTCATAATCATCGCGCTTGATCATAGTTGTCTTGTACGCCCAGTCGTACTTGCTTCCGCGAAGGGTGAAAGCTTTCGAAGGGGTCGTGATTTGCTCGATCTGATCAGGGTTGGGGATGCCGGCTTCAACGACCAGAATGCGGACGCTGGGGTTCTCAGCAAGGCGACCAGCAATTGCATTGCCAGCAGTACCACCGCCGACAACAATGAAGTCGTACTCAGAGCCGTTGGAAACAAAAGCCATGGTTTGGGATTTAATAAGACTTGTGTGTGTGCGTGTGTGTGCGTGTGTGTTCATAGCAAAAACTAACGAGACATCGCGTGGATCTTATATTCCACTCTTCGCATGTCTCCAAATAGACCATCTTGCCGCTCTTGCCGGATAGTAAGAGATGTGGGAAATGGAGCAACATGTTTTACCACTAGGGCCAAAGTCCTGGGTATCCATTTGGGGGATAGAGGGGCCATCTTACTGACAAGAGAGGCCCTTGAACCTTGACTTGGTAGGGCTGACAGAAAGGGTAAATTTGAGTTGGAGGTGTTCTAGAAGGGACTTAGCTCCGAAAGTGACGTTTTCGACCCCTCATGAGGGGAAAACCCCTTCTCCGCACGAGCTTTGTCAGATTTCCAGCCAATCAGAGATTCGGCATATGTCGCCAGGAACGGCAATAACTCGGCCGGGTGTCGGTAAACCGCCTGTTGCAAAGCATCTCCACTATATTGTAAGCTTTCCAAACCCACTTGTTCAAAATATTTGGTTTTGTCTCAATCCCCTCACGTTAATATGGAATGATCAAATGATTTGGAGTGTCCCTCATGGGGGGTGCTGTCAAGGTCTTGACTCACGTTTAAGATCCAGCCCAATAAAAGCCAGGCCGTTTCCTAGAATATAGAGTATTCACAACTTATCATATCAATTGAATATCCCTTGTACAACCAATCCCAATGCCGAACCATTTTACCTTGGCCGAAGGTATAGTACCAAATATCTCAAGTCAACGTTCCCATCCTGACACCAGACAGGTCAACCGGTTGCGGATCCATCCGTCAGCACTACGTTGCCTACCTTTGGGGGTGGTGGCCTCACAACATTGGGTGACACGCTTCTCATTGAAACACTTTCGCATTTCAACCGCGAACGTATACCCGAAAGGTCTGATATCATTCAACATAATGCTTGGAAGGAAAAGATATCCTAACTCTATAAACAGAGTCGTTCATGCTAAAGCTGCGGGTGCATGGGGAGAATTTGAGGTCACAAACAATATCTCCTCCCTCACGTCGGCCAAGTTCCTCAATGGTGTTGGAAAGAAAACCCCTGTTCTATTCCGTCTAAGCAATACTGGCGGTGACAGGGGCAGTGCGGACACTGTTCGCGATGTGCGAGGCTTTGCTGTCAAATTCTTCACGGAGGAAGGTAATCATGATATTGTAGGGAACCACATTGTAAGTGTTCACCCTAAGTTCTTACTTTTCATGTTCTAATGTCTCCGAAGCCGGTATTCTTTGTTCGCGATCCTATAAGATTTCCTTCTCTCAACAGGAGCCATAAGAGACATCCTGCCACCAATAGGCCAGATTGGCCCATGGTGAGTGCTAATCAAAGTTACTGAGTTGCGGATGAAGCTAATCTTTTAGTTCTGGGATTTCCACTCAAACCAACCGGAAAGTGTCCATGCTCTGATGCACCTTTTTGGCACTCGGGGTATTCCTGATTCCATCCGTCGAGTGACAGGTTTCGGTGTACATACCTTCAAGATGGTGTCAGCTGATGGTGGCTTCCGCTACTGCAAGTTCCACTTCCGACCAACTCAGAATATCACACACTTTTCTGGCCAGGAAGCTACTCGCATGGCTGGTGCAAACGCCGACTTCCACAATCAGGATTTGTGGGATGCTATTGCTCGGGGGGACTTACCGGTCTGGAAACTTTACGTCCAGGTCATGGAGCCCGAGCAGGCTGAAACCTACGGCCGTGCTCTGTTTGATATCACCAAAGTTTGGCCCCACAAGGAATTCCCCTTGATCGAAGTTGGTCAAATGACTCTTAACAGAAATGTGGGTAACCCATTACCTTAGACACGAAGCAAGTGCTAACAAGCCCCAGCCCGAGAATTATTTTGCCGAGATCGAGCAAGCCGCATTTTCGCCTTCTAACATGGTGCCTGGGATTGCAATGACACCCGATCCTAGTAAGTTCACACTGATGTGGTCGCCAGAGGGGGATAAACCACTAACCATTCTTATCTATAATAGTGTTGCAGGCACGTATGTTCGCTTACCCCGACGCTCAACGATACCGTCTGGGGGTGAACTACACACAGCTTCCTCCAAACCGTGCAATATGCCCTGTATATGCGCCATTCGAGCGCGACGGCACAGGAACTATAACCCGGAACTATGGCGGTGACCCGAACTATGTACGGAGCTCACTAGGCGCTGGTATTCCTAGCCAGGTTGTTTCCAACGTACGACACACTGAGCGCATCGCGCATAACGCTGTCCTCGGCCAGAATGAGATTCTAGTTGATGATGAGGATTTCATTCAGCCCCGAGAGCTGTGGAATAGGGTCTTTGATGAGCCCGAGAGAAGGGAGTGGGTGTCAAATGTGTCTGAGACTTTGGAAGAAGTGCCTGATCAGCTTAAGGATGCTGTCATTGCCATGTTCAGCAAGGTGGATCCTCGTATTGGCCAATTGTTAAACGATAAGGCCAAGAACAGTGCGCGTCTTTAGCTCTTTGGTTACTTTTGACACTAGATGCAATGAAACACGTTTTCTATACTCATACGACTCTTTCTTACTGTCCATTACACGCAGGATCAGTAATAAACAACTCATTGATGTGCAAGTGGTATCACATGGTGCTTGCCCTAGGTGCAATAAGGTGTTAGAGAAGAGAACACCATGGGGTGACTACTAGAAGAAGAAAAGAACATTGAAGGTGCCTGCGTGCTATCTCTACCTCAGGAGTGGTTTTACGGATGGATAAAATGTCCGCTTAGTCATCCTGCGCTACTGTTCACCGATTACCACGTGATCACGGGTCCTACCTCCACACTGTTGTGTCCCTCCGAGGTCCATTGTTTGTGGCCACCCGCACATTATAGGCCTTTCATTTTTTTGTTCTTGGCACATCTCGCATCCCGTCCCTGAAGAGGCTAGACACCACTTATTTGAATCAGGATGTCGAATACTACATCTCCAGCCTCCCTAAATGCTGCTTCCCAGGGTCATACTGTTGCCGTTAGTCTACTTCTAGGGGCGGGAGCACAACCAGATTTATGTCATCCTAGTGGTGAAAGGAAAGGCAGTCCACTGAATTGCGCTACCCGAAACGCTACCGATATTTTGCTTCCTAAATCTCTGCTCGATTTTGGCGCAGATGTGAATGCCAGTGGAAATGATGGCAAGACCTTATTCATGCGGCAAGAATTGACAATGCTGGTTTTGCTATGCTATTATTGGAATATGGTGCCAACATCAACTCGGTATCAGCCGACGGATCAACTCCTTTGACCACCGCAATTATCTACAACAGTCATAATGTTCTACGATTGTTCCTTGATCGATGGCATGAGTATTCGATCTGCCCCCGTATGAAGGGCCCCAACCTTCTCCAGGTCGCGGCACTATATGCTGATCCTGCTACGCTGCCTTGAGCATAGATGCGGAATACGAGAAAGATAAACAATGTGCCTGTGAGAGCCCATAGTACACCCTAATATCAAGAGGTCAGTTAGGTATACTAAAGCAATATTGCCATTCCGTTGAATACCCACTAAAAAGACTGCCTCAGGAACTCTGCTGTGCTGGTCATCAAACTCTGCCATTATGACTAAAGGTTCAGTATGAAGTTCTGGATAGATCTGTCAAACAGTAATATGACAAGACGTGAGAAATATATCAACCATGGAACTATATCGCCAAGAGATCAGATATATCATTCTTTGTTGATCTCTCGCTAGTGCTGATTTGGTCATCCTGGACATAATTTTCGACCAGCTCAGTTCTATTGGTGCGGGTAAGAAAAAGCATCGGTTAAGTCCTTTGAGAATATCAAGTCAGATACCTTGCGCCATGTGAATTCTACTTGAAATGAGAGTGCCGGGACTTCAATATTAACGCCACTGTCGTTAATACTATACACTCTGGCGAACAACCATGGTCGTGCAGCTTGAATGTGATATCGAAAGACTCAAAATCCGATGATAGCTTTATGAGTGAGTAGTTCGTTCCGCTGGAACAATTATCAATATGGTTCACATAGGACGGATATAGTGTATCTTGGCCCCCGCTTGATCTGTTCAAGTATGGTGCAGCCATTCATCCCATCTAGGAAGCAGCCCACTTCGTATGAGTGCAGTGGCTTAATCAAAACGGACATGGTCGGAAAGGCATACTCACGATGATTGCACAACTAACCGAAAGGTCAAGGGTGTCAAAGAAGTGACATCCCTACTGAGTCTCTCGATATCTCCGGGAGACCAAGAACGCAAATTCCCATCGAGCTCGGACCCCGACGAAATGATCTTCGTCATTGATAAAATTCGAATACTTTGGGAAGCCAAATTACTCCATGTCCACGAGCGTTGTGATCGCCCACTCTTTCGGGTAATGGCGCCTCAATTTCGACTTGCTTATCGCCGTTGTTAAGTAGCGTACATCGGCTTCATGGCAGGCTCCGAATCGGTTTCTGTAAGATTTTGCAGTGCGATATTACCAGAAGACCACTCGGAGTTTGCTTCCGGGGGGAGCGTGATCAAAAATAGCAGTAAATAAAAATACCGATTGATCTCAGCAGCGATTTGTACGATTTCGCGTAATTCCGTAATTGCCACGGGTATAGGATACTGAATAAATATCGCTAGTCGGATCTAAAGGACCTAGGTTGATACTAGATTAGATGTGATCCGGCTATCACACCATGGGTTGCTTCGATCAGAATCTCAAAGGATACCATCAAACACCAATTTTGCACACTTATTCGGTATTAATACAGAAGGTGCTCGGGTCAAAATAGAAAGAGTTCCAAGCAACATGAAGGTATAGGCATGGGCAGCTTTGACCCGAACGCGCAGTCTTAGATCCGCATTGAGTGCGCCACAACGGAAGTGCAGCAAACCCAATGTGACAAAGAAATTATAATGCAATCCCGAGTCCTAGATCTCCATGACATGTTCTTCGTCCTCTGATCGCCCTTTCCCCTGTATTGTGGGGATGTGGACGTTAATCTCATCGCGAG